AAAGTGGTTGTAAGAGCTGTGGAGAGAGAAAGATAAGAGGAACACCCCCTTTTCTTTTTGTTTTGGTCACCCCTGGCGATGCTCAGGGGTTATTCCTAGCTCTGTGCCCCGGAATCACTCCTGACAGTACTCCATGGACCATATGTGGTATGTGGTATTGGGATTTGAACCCAGGGTGGCTGCTTGCAAGGCAAGTGCCATACCTGCTGTACCAGCATTTCATTAAAAAGAAATTTTTTTTTCTGGGTGGGAGAGAAAAAATGCAATAGGTAGGGAGCTTGCCTTGCATGCGGCTCACCTGGGTTCAATCCCTGGCACCAAATATGGTCCTCTGAGCACTATCAGGAATGGTCCTGAGTGCAGAGCCAGGAGCATCGCCGGGTGTGGCACAAAAACAAAAAGAATTTTTTTTTCTTCTCTTCCCGTTTCCCATTCTCTTAATTATTGTTGATATTGCAGTGGCATAGGGAGTTGTGGCTGGCACACATACCTGACACTAGCAGTGTTCAGGGACTCGTCCTAGCTCTGTTCTCAGGAGTGACCCCTGGTATTGCTCATATGACTTTTTTTTTTTTTTTTTTGCTTTTTTGGGTCACATCTGGTGATGCTCAGACAGAGGTTACTCCTTACTCTGCACTCAGGAATTACCCCTGTTGGTGCTCAGGCGAGCACATGGGATGCCAGGGACTGAAATGGGTTGGCAGTGTGCAAGGCCTTATCTGCTGCACTATCATTCCTGCCCCAACGTAGGATCATTTTTGCCGCCAGAGATTTGAACCAGGGTGGGTTCCATGGTAAGTAAGTGTCTTAAACCCTGTACGTTCTCTGCCTTCACAGTTTTTCAGCTGGGGTGCTTGTTAGGGAGTGCACATCAGGTTGCAGTGTTCACCAACTTGGCCGCAGTGCTTAGTGTGAGGTCTGCACACTTTTAGCTGTGGTCCTTGCAGAGTTGCTCACCAGGACAAATGCTCTTAGCTTTCTTGCTTGCTTGCTTGCTTTCTCCCTTCCTTCCTTTCTCTCTTTTTAAATTTTTTGCTTTTGGGGTCACACCCGGCGATGCACAGAGGTCACTCCTGGCTCTGCACTCAGGAATTACTCCTGACGATGCTCAGGGGACTATATGAGATGCTGGGACTCAAACCTGGGTTGGCCACATGCAAGGCAAACACCCTACCCGCTGTGCTATTGCTCCAGCCCCTCCTTTTTCTTTTCTTTTTCTTTCACTTTTTTCTCGATAGTTTTTATTGAACAAAATTTGCTTAGAAAGATGTATGTGTGTGTGTGGGGGGGGAGCAGAGCTATATTACAGCAAGAAGGGCTATTCCACCAAGCAAGTATATCCCCCTACTTTTATTATTTTTTTGGAACCACACTTGGCAATGCTCAGGGGTTACTCCTGGCTCTGTGCTCAGGCACCATACAGTTCTGGGAATATATTCAGGTCTCCTGTATACAAAGCATATGCTTCAGCCCATTGAGGTTTCTCCAGCCTTATCTAGTATCCTGTTATTATTATTATTACTTTTTTGCTTTTTGGGTCACACCCGGCGATGCTCAGGGGCTACTCCTGGCTTTGAACTCAGGAATTACTCCTGGTGGTGCTCAGGGGACCATATGGGATGCTGGGAATTGAACCTGGGTCAGCCGCATGCAGGGCAAACGCCCTACCCACTGTGCTATCACTCTAGCCCCGTTATTTTTTAAATTTTTGGCCACACTCTGCATTGCGCAGGGCTTACTTCTTATTCTTGGTTCTGTGCTCAGTGATCACTCCTGATGGGCTCAGGGGACCATATGGGAAGCCAGGGATCCAGCTCATGTCGACTATGTGCAAGGCAAATGCCCTACCCCCTGTACTATGCCTTCAGCCAGCCCCACTTTTTGTTTTTGTGTGTGGTGGGCGGGGGTCACACAATGAGTTGGGGGTAGGGGGCATAGCTCCTAAGAGGTATTCTGGAGATCCAGAGCCACTCCTGGAGATAGTCAGCTAGAGTCAAGCAAGAGCCCAAGGATGTGGTGCAGTTCTGGCCCTGTAATGCCAGAGATTACCTGCTACACAGCAATACTTGGGGGCTACCATACTGGCAGTGCTTGGTGGACCCTGTGGTACAAAACCCGGCAGTACTCAGGGCTCTCTTACAGCTCTGTGCTCAGGGGACCACATGGGGTATATCGCTTCAGCCCACAACACCACTTAAGGGCATCACTACTTGCTATCATGTCCATGCCCAGCTCCTTTGTGCTCTGCATGGACATGAGGAAAACAAAGCCCACCTGCTCCCCACTCCCATCCATCCTAGCAGACATGTGTGGTGTGGGGAGCATCTGGTCAGAGGAAGCTTGACTTCATCCCGGGAGGGACCCCCTGGAGGGAAGTAGGAGCACTGGAGGCCAGTGTGGAGGAGTATTTAATTAGACCTGGCAGAGGCTCCCAGCTCTGGTTTCCAGACACGCCTCTGTGGCAACAGGAGAGCAGTTGAGCGTTGGCCAGGCAGAGTCAAATGACTGCTCTCCGTCTTCCCTCTCAGAACCCTGCTTCTAAAGGAACCTGCAGGGAACTCTCCCTGGGGGTTTCCAACATCGATTGTTCCAGAGGGGGTGCAAGTCCTTTCCTACCTGCCTGTGCTGCTGGAGGGGCACTGGGGCTCCCCTAGGAGAATGGGTTTAGGAGCATTTCTGTGTCATGTTATTTTCAGAGCCCCTTTACTTAGAGGCTCCACGTTGGAATAGGGTCCTCCCACCCACTGAAACCAATGTGGCCAACTCAAAGAACATCCGAGATCCCTGATGAGAAGGGACCAGAAGCTCTAGTGTCTGTGACAGACGTTGGAGCATGGGTGAAAGGCACTTTGGATGGTTGTGCCATTTGCAGGGATCCCCAAACCATCCTTTGTGCCAGGCTCACCCAGGCCCCAGCTAAGCTGGTGACTAATGCAGGAGCCTCACTAGCTACTGCTGGCTTAGAAGAGGTGACCGGAGTAGGAAAGAAGCCAGCTCATTCTCAGTGGCTGCAAGAACATGATCTCATCAGCACACATGCACAAACAGGACAATTTCTCTGACTTTGGGGTCATAGCTGAGTGGTTAGTGGTCATTCACAGTGGTGCCTGGGACGCATATGCTCCAGTCCAAGCTCTCACCAGCACAAAGAACACATACACAGGATGACAAGGGGGACGCTGCTTCCTCTGGGGAGATGTGGGCTACTGGGAGGATAGTGCTGACAGCAGGGCTGACAGGGTGCATCCACTTGACTCCGCCTCAGTGGGCCCCACTGTGCTCTCTGGTCTCCTGCCTGCCCTTTCGATATGGGATGCTGGGGATCCAGCCCAGAATGACCATGTTCAAGGAAAATGCCCTACTACACCCTACCTGCTGTACTACTGCTTTGGCCCCAATCCCTCCTCCGGACACACAGGCCCATGGCTCCCATCCCCTCTGGTGCACCTTAATTGCTCAAACCTTACTTGGCCTTTGGGTCAGGCCCTTCTGGGTACCCACCCAATCCCTTGCTGAAAAGGACTGGGCAGGGACCCCTCCATGATCCCAAAGAATCACCCATCTATTTTTTCACCCAGCACTATTCAGGGACTACTCCTGTGTTCAGGGGACCAAATGCCACGCAAGGGGTCTAACCAGGGTCTGTAAGATGCAAAGCAAATGACCCCTGAATTTTTTGGCCTCAACACCTACGTAATTTTATGCAGTGCTGGAGTACAAACCCAGTGTCTTACACATACAAGGCAAATCTACACTGTTGACCCACATATTTGGACCCACTTTTTCTTCGTATTTGTAAGTACCTTTTGGGGGCCAGAGGTATAGTAGGGGAGTAGTAGGGTTTGATCCCTGGCCTCTTATATGGTCCCCGAGTACCACCAGAACTAAATCCTGAAGGAAGAGCCAGGAATAAACCCTGAGCATCACTGGCTGTGGCCCCGTCTTCTCCCCTCTCCTCTCCCCTGCCCCTCCCCCCCCACCAAAAAAGTAAAACTTTTGGTTGGGGTGGTATCAGGGATGTCTTGTGTGTAGCTGATCCTAATTTGATTTCTGGCACCATATGGTTCCCCCTCAAGAAACAATGGGTACAACTCAGTGGCACAGAACAAATGGTTTCTGAGCACTATTGGGTGTGGTTCAAAAACCCTACCCCACCCTCACAAGTACTTTTGGGGTGCCATATGGGGCTGAGCATATGTTTTGCATGCCAGAGGCCCATATTCAATCTCCAGTCCCAAAGGAAGTGACGCCTAAGCAATGAACCAGTAATCCTGAACAACTTTTGGCTAAGGATCCAAAATCAAAGGAAAAACCCCTAAAAGTGCCTTTTTTATGGTCCCTTTTTGAGTAAGACCAAACTTCGGAGGTGCTCAGGATCACTCCTGGCAGTGTTCAGGGGATTGTATGTAGCACTAGATCGTACCAGGACCAGCTGCTTTTAAGACAAATGCCTTAATCCCTGTGCTTTTGAGGGTCCAGTGGTAGGATATGCTTTACACATGTGAGGCAGAATTCCATTCTATCTCTGGTACCACACACATACAAAGCAAGCCAACACTGAGGGAAGGCTCACATTCATGGAGTACACTTGTTGTATGAGTCCAGGGATCAACTGTTATCAGGTTCAATTCTGGTACCACTGGCCCAATATGCAGGAACAACCCCCAAGCACCCAAGTTTTGTGCTGGATGGAGCAGCCACTTAACTGTTGGGTGTGGCCCTCCTAAAGGGAAAAAAAACCCACCTTCCTTCCCATTAATCAACAAGTACTGATTAATAAGTTGATTGATTATTGGAGGAGTGAACAGCCTGTCAGTCCCATGAATGTGACCATCTTATCACCTTTGCACAGGTAGCATAGGTACATCTGCCAGTCCTGAGCCAGTGGGGCGCTGGTGGGCAGAGGTGCACTTTGAGGCAGGTCTGGACAAGTCAGCAAGGAGTCACACGCACCAAGCCACTCGGCAGTCAGAAGAGAAATAGGGCAGTCAAAAGAGAAATAAGGCAACAGACTCTTTTATTTCATGTGGTTTAAAATACATTAAAATCATGTCCCTGGCTGTTGTGAATACCAAAAGGAGACACTACCCCACCTCCCACCCCCAAAATAACAAAAAAAGCCATCAGCACAGCTTCCAACAAGTGTAGGCACCAGCTGGGGCCGAAAGGAAGCAGTTACAGGGATAGACGGCTACACCCCTCCCCCAGGCAGGCGCCAGGCTGCCCCCGGTGACCACCTCTGTGCTGTGCAAGGTGGGAGGGCTGGAGCAGCAGCTGGAGAATGAACTCAGCAGGGCAGCTCCAGGGCCTCAGGACAGAGGTGGAGGAGGGGATCTAGCCACCCTAGGAGACAAAACATCTTACAGAAAGTGCCTGAGCTCCACCCATGGTCCAAAAACCTCATGGAAAACAAAGAAAAGTGCTGCCGAGCTGTTGACTCTGGAGCTCAGGGCGGGGTGTCCTGAACACATTTCTGCAAGCAGAGCAGGGCTCCAGCTGGTCCTGGGAATCTGGAAAAGCTAGCAATCTAAGAAACCAACACAGCGCTTGGTCCTAAGGTGAGGTCACGTGCACAGGGAAGGCACTGGCCTTAGCGCAACCAGCCAACAGGCCACCGTGCCTGCATCTTGCCCAGGCTCCTGGCAGGGTGGGCAGCAGCCAGGGTCCAGGCTGACTTTGGAAAGCAGAAGCAGCAGCAGTGCAGCTGTAGGTGGGAAGATTTGGTCACCGAGGAGGAAAAGGAAGAATATGGTACCCATCAAAAGCCTGGTCTGAAAGTCCAGCTGTGGCTGGAACTGGGAACAAACTCCCTCCATCCTACCCCCTAAGAGGTACAGGCTCCGATCCGGGAGGCCAGCCCAGTGAGACCATCTTGCTCATTTTCACTAGATGTCTCCAGGGGCTGCTGGCATGCACGGAGCAGCTGTCACCTCCCATGCCCACAGGAGGCTCCAACAGACCTGCCCCCACCTCGGGCTTTAAAGAGGTAGCTGAGTGAGGAGGCAATTCTGTGGGGGGCTCTGTAGGCCTTCCTGCTGAGCAAGCTAGAGCTCTTGCTGCAGCCTTGTGCTTCTGTAGCCCAGCAAACCTGTATGGGATTGGCAGCTCCTGTGTGCCCCAGCCTGGCACAACTGGCGTGACTGGGGCAGGAGGCAGCTGGCATGAGTCCAGACCCAGACTTTTGAGAGGGACAGAAAAGGTGCCTGGAAGGACATACTGCTGAACCGGAGAATGGGGTCTTAGCCAGGCAGGATGGCATGCCACTCCTCATACTCACTGGCTAGGGGAACAGTTCTACTCTCAGGGACAGACCTTGGGAGAGGGATGAGGGGGAAAATTTGGCCACGGGGAATTGAAGTGCTGTTCATTTGCCATCTCTGGTCTAAGCTGAAATGTGATTCAAGAATTCTTAGTATTTTTCACTAACCTACTCCTCTGAGGAATTGAAGTTCAGGGCTCAAAGACGAATTATATGAAATGAGGGAGCCTGCCAGACAACGAAGCAGCTTCAAGGACGTACATTAACCAACTCAGCTGCTGCAAGCAGAGCCCCACTTAATACAAGACTGACTTAGTTGTTCAAGAGAACTGCCCTGCACCAACCTGCACAGTAATAAGACCAAACAGCCCCACCAGATTGCCACAGCAGAACCTTTGAGAGTTCAGAGCAGCAGGCACGGGGGGACGGGGGGGACGGGGGAACGGACGGACGACAATGTAGGACAGGTACACACAATCTGCAGCCTAATCTGCAGCCTTCCAATTTTTGGGACCAAATCAACTGTTTTCATTCCTTTTCAGGGAAGGGGCAGGCCTGGGCCACACCCAGCAGTGTTCAGTTGGGGACCAAATGTAGCATTGGGGACTGAACAGGGGTGAGACGCTCTACCCACTCCTTGTACTCTCTTTTTAGCCCCAGATCTTATTCTTATCCATACTGAAAGGAGGAATGTCAAAGGGACATATTGAAGCCAGGCCCCAGGCCAAAACAGAACCAGGGCAAATCTCAAGGAATGCACATGGGTGCAGGCAAGAGAACAGAAAACTCATAAAGCCAAGGGAAGAACAGGCCTGTACAGCTGCCTGGAGACCTCCCATGGTGTCACAGGCAAGCTGTGGCAAAGCTATCAGAGACCCTTTTTTCCGTTACTATAAACAATCTGGGTTCACTGACAGGAAACCTCAGAACCAGCACGGCAAAGTGCTAGGTGAGGTGGTGGGGCACTGGGAGCCAGGAAGCCAGGCACCACCACTACAGCACTTTCCCTTCTTCCTCAGGAGATCAGCAACGCAAACACTGTCATGTGCAAAAATAAAGAATCGGACAAACAGAACAAAGAACCCTTCTGGAAGAAGCCTTTGGGTGATCTCTTGTCAATCATTGTGCAGGCTAGAGGCACCTGTGAATGATAAGGCTACTGAAAAGCATCATTGGCCTGGTCCTGGCACTACCAGAGGGCAGGGGAAGTGGTGCCTGGGGGCTCCCACCCAGCACATCATCCCACACAGAAACCTTCTTCAGAGCCCAGTCCAAGGCAGAAGGGCAGTTTTGTTACTGTTCCTAAGCCCCTGCCAAGGCTCTGTTTGGGGTCCCCTTTTCCAGGTCAAGAGAAGCAAAAGAGCTTCTGGGGAAGCTTGGAGAACCGGAGTTGCCCAAGTCCTGCTCATTGTCAAGGCCCGAGGGTATCATCTGTCATGAGCCCTGAAGGGCAGGGAAGGAGTCTCAAATCAGGCAGGGAAAAGCTTGTTGCTTGTCCAGTAGCTCACTGGGACAGCTCTGCTTTGAGACCTGTTAACTCTTAGAAGAGTCACTGACCTCATCTGTCCACATCCCACCCCAATGTCAGCCCACTTGACACTTACAGGTAAGAACACGTGTGGCCTTGCACCTATGCCATAGGTATTGAAAACTGACCCAGAAAATCCAGAACTTCGAGGTGTCAGACATCGGCCAGGTCAGAGCGTCTGACCTCAGGGCTACACCGCGCAGCAGAGGGAGCTTGGTGGGCCAGACTTGGCTGGGCTGCTTGCTCCCTTCCCAGCACACACCCCAGGCCAAGCTCCCTAGGCGGTGGTGGTGGGCTCCTGAGGCCTAGTACGGTCAGATGCTTCTAAGCTGGGTGCTCCATGGCAGCAAGGGGCTTCCGTGGCTCTTGGGGAGCTAGGTGCTTGGGCACCAGGCCCCTCAACACCCTGTTCCTTAGAGGCAGTAGCAGCCTCTGACCTTTGTTCAGGGCTGTCTGTGAGGGGGCCCTGGACCCCCGCACTCAAGTCCTGTACCCTCTTGTTCAGGTCGTTGCGTTCTGTCTGCAGCGCTCGGCACAGCTTCTCCAACCGCTGAATTTTCACTTGCAGTCCCTCCAGCTCTTTGTCCCGGAGTGTTTTCTAGGGAAAGAAATGGGGTTTTTCATTGTCATGCCCTGGCCCTCCTCCCCAACCCAATGTGGAGAAAAGTGGCCATGCTGGGAGACCAAAGTGGAAAGTCGCCCCTTTTGGCCCTGTTTTATTTTAAGAATAACTCGGGTAACAGAGAAGGTCTTGATTTGGGAATGTCCTTCCTTTTACTACCAGACAACGCGGGCAAATTCGTGCCTTTTGATTCTTCTTCTTCTTTTTTTGGTCTTCGGGTCACACCCAGTGCTGCACAGGGGTTACTCCTGGCTCATGCACTCAGGAATTACCCCTGGCAGCGGTGCTCAGGGGACCATATGGGATGCTGGGAATTGAACCTGGGCCAGCCAGGTGTAAGGCAAATGCCCTACCTGCTGTGCTATTGCTCTAGCCCCTGAATTCATCTTCTCTCCACACCACAAAAGCCCATCACCTGGCAAATTAAACTGCCTACCTTCATTTGCTCTTTATATTCCCACTGCCAATCTGTCACCAAGCTCACCCACTGCTGCAGGAAGATAGCAGTGCCCTTGCACTTGGAAAGCCACTCAGGTGAACCCCATGACATCCCATGCTAGCAGCATCACAGATGGGTAGCTGACTTACTACATTTAAGCACCCACCTCTTCGGCCATCTCCAGTAGTGCCTTATTGCTGCTCTCCCACCGAGACCGGTACATTGTGGTTTCTTTCTCCAGCTTCTTAATCTTCTTAGTCATCTGCATCACATGACAAAAAGGGAAATGAATGGTCGGGGCCCTGCTAGCCGTGCATCTGCCCCCAAGAGAACAGATTAGTCATGGGGCAGTGAGCGTTTCTGTGCCACTTTGGGTTAAAATGTCCCTCTCAAAACAGGGAAGGAGTGATCCCTCCTTACAGGTCCCTATTGGTACCAAGTTAAGTAGCCCAGGAGATACCTTGGGTAAGGGGCAGGCCAGCCTGTTGTTCACCCAAACGGTGTTACCTTTTCCATCTCCTGTTTGAATGTGGTGAACACCTCACTGCTTTTGGAGAGTGTGTTTTGGAACTCCTCAAACTTCTCTGTGTACAAGGCAAGCTGAATAAGAAAGAAGGCCACAAGATGAGATCGGGCTTCTCTAGGAAGCACATTCGGTCATTACACTCAGAACCAACCTTGGCCCTTTGACCCAACAATGCTACTGAGAAACCTTTTCTCTTCAAAACAAAACAAAAAAATCTATGTATTTGAAAGAAGGTAATTAAAAAGGTTAAGATCAGAAAGCAGAGTCTGGGAACACTTAGTATGCCTTTATGTTGTTTTGGAACTTTGTGTCTGGAATTCAATATAATTTACATGATTAAACATACCCGTTCTTGGGCTGGGTTGACAGCTCTTAGGGCTGGAGTGTGCACTTTGCAAGTAAGAACCCTGGGATTGATCACCAGTCCCACTGGGAGCAGCCCTCAGCACTGCTGGGTATAGCACCAAAACAAACCCAAATAGCCAAAAAAGCAAAAATTAAAACACTCATTCTGTCCCCACCTCCTCACAAGCAGCTCAACTCTTCCGACTAGGAAGGAAGTCCTCCAAGCTCACCTAGCCACCTGGTCACCACCACACAGGTGAGGTGCTGGGCGGGTCCAGAGAAAACAAAGTCTCAGCAAGGTCACACAGCAGTCAGTCAAGGTGGTCCTAGAATGAGGGTCCCATTTCCCTCCCAGGAGGGGCCCAGGGCCAGGCTACACACGGTCTCACCTGCTGCTTCAAGTGGTTCTCCTGCTGCTTCATCAGCTCACACATCCTCTGGGACTCCACAGCCTCTTTGAGGAGCTATTTCCAAGATAGGACCCCGACTTGTCAGAAACCCTGAAGGGCTGTGCCTGGCTTATTCAAGCTATGAGCACTAGAATCCACTGAGGCTTCCTGCTCTCAGTCTTGTGCTTGAGGAAGCAGTGCCCTGGTCTGGCCAGGCAGCTGTCTTTCCCCAGTCACCACCCCCCTCCCAGAGCCCCCTACCCCCACCCCTTGAGTGAGCCTCACAAAATCTTTCTCCCGCTGGTGCCTCTCCTCTGCCTCCTTCAGCATCTCCTGGGCCTGCTGGAGCTTGGCATCCACAAGCTGCTGCTGCAGGTCCTTGTGTTTGAAGACTTTGTCGATGTGCTGCAGGAAAGCACAATATCAGCTCTTGCCTGCACCTGGGCAGTGCCTTCCCACAAGGGCGAGGAGCTGCTGGACTTCCGGTCCCTGCCGGGAGGGCTTGCAAATCTCAACTTGTTGGTCTCCCACTGAGTCAGTCATGGGGGAGGAGAGGGGATTATTTATGGATGAAATCAGCACCCAGGAAGTTAAAGAAACAAGGACTAAAATTAAAGAGGGCCAGAGCGATAATAAAGCAGGAAGGGCATTTGCTTTGCACATGGCAGACCTGGGTTTGATCCCAGAATTCCACAAGGTCTCCTGAGTACTGCCAGGAGTGATCCTGAGTGCAGAGTCAGGAGTAGTCCCTGAGCACTACCAGGTGTGGTGCCAAAACCAGACAAAACAACAAGGGCTAGAGAATATAGGGGACCTGGAGTGATAGTGATAGTACATAGGGTAGGGCACTTGTGTTGCATGTAGCCAAGGATAGTTTAGTCCCTGGCATCCCATGTGGTCTCCTGAGCATGCCAGGAGTGATTCCTACGTAGGGGCAGAGCTAGGAGGATGCCCTGAGAATCTCCAGGTATGGCCCAAAACCTAAGAAGCACCCTTCAGTTCTAATTCCAGAAAATACTCCAGACAAAGCACTGTGGTGCTTCAATCCTAGACACATTTCTTTACCTGTTTTTTTTTTTTTTTTAATTTTTGGTGCTTTTTGGGTTACACCTGGCGATGCTCAGGAGTTACTCCTGGCTCTGCACTCAGGAATCACTCCTGGTGGTGCTCAGGGGACAATATGGGAAGCTGGGGAATTGAACCCGGGTCAGCCATGTGCAAGGCAAACGCTCTACCCGTTGTGCTATTTCTCCAGCCCTTTTACCTCAGTTTTATGAGGAACATTACTCCATTGCTAAGAAAGGAGGAGAAAGGGGATGGAGTGTGCCAAACATGTTCCAGGGCTGGCCCCCTAGAGCTCTTCACCCCAGAGAATACCACAATCTCCTGGCTATGCTGGCTGGCCATGATACAAACCTCTTCCCGCAGCTCATACTGCTCAATCAGCTTCTTGAGCCTCTCAGCCAGCTCCATGTTCTCCTGGCGCAGTTTGGAATTGCGCTCGTTGTGCTGTTCCATCTGTAGCTGGATGTCATTCAGTGTCATCTGGAAGTGCGAGGTCACTTCCTTGCGCTTCTCCTCTTCCTCCCGGGCTCGCTGCACACCTTCTTCCTGGGCAGAGAAGCCAACCCCAGTTCCGTTACCCAGTGCTCTCGAAGACAACCTCACAATGATCCCTTAGCTAATCCAGGGCTAGTATTGACCAACAATCCTTCCTGCTCTCCCAGTGAGCAGTAGCCAGGCAATGGAGCGCAACGGAGGCTCTGAACAAATCCCTGCATCAGGTGACACCCTGTGAGAGTCTGCCTAGAAAACCCAGGCATACATCTCGGGGCCATTCTGACATTCTGCTTGTTTTGTCACATTTGGCAGAGCACAGGGGCTATTCCTAGCTCTGTGTTCAGGGGTCACTCCCTGTAATGCTCAGGGGATCATGCGGAGTTTTTTCTCAGCATGTAAAGCAATCTGCATCTACTAAAAGCCTACTACTCTAGTCTTCAGACTAAGTAGCTTTTTTTTCCTATCATTCTTCCACCACATCTTTCTCCAGTGTTTAAAATAAGCACTGTTGGCTGAGAGGCAATCTGGCAGATTAAAAAAAAAAAAAAAAAAAAAAAAGAGCCAAGAGATAATACAGCAGGTAGGGCACTTGCCTTGCATGTGGCCTACATGGGTTCAATCCCCAGAACCAAATATGGTCCCTGAGACCTCCCAGGATTCATCTCTGAGAACAGAATCAGAAATAAGCCCTGAGTACTGATAAGTTTGATCCCAAAACCAAAAAATAAAAAATTTACATACTCTTTGGGGCAGGAGAGAAAACAGGGGTTAAGACACTTGCCCTACATCCAGCCAAGCCTGGTTTGTATATCTGGCACTAGGTATGGCACCCCAAGAGCCAAAGGATCACTCGTGAGCACAAAACCCGGACCAGCCCTGAGCATAGTCAGTCTAACCCAAAAATAACAACAACCCAGTCATTTTACCCCCAAGATTAATCCTATGTGCTTTCACATGCTATCACATGTGGCCCCCCAGCACCACAAGGAATAATTTCAGAGTGCAGAGCCCAGAGTAATCCCTGAACATTGCGAGATGTGGCCTCCAAAACAAAAACAAACATGGACTGGAGCAATAGTATATCGGGTAGAGCATTTGTCTTGCAAAGCCTGGGTTTGATTCCTGGCATCCGATATGGTGCCCTTGCACTGCTAGGAGTGATTCCTGAGTATAGAGCCAGGAGTAACCCTGTGTACTCAGAAATCACTCCTGGTGGGGCTTGGGGGATTATATGGGATGCTGGGGATCAAACCCGGGTCGACCATGTGCAAGTCAAGTCTTACCCACTGTGTTATTGCTCTGGCACCCATATGTTCTTAAGTTTTAATTCTTATGTATACTATGTACTATATATCTATGTATCTATATATTCTGAGTTTTGTTCAACCTCTGACAGTGCTCAGCTCTGGCTCTGGCTGAGCACTGTTAGGTTTGGGAAACCATGAGGTGCTAGGAATTGAATCCGGATCAGTCACATGTAAGGTGAGTAAGTGCCCTACTTGTTATTCTAGCTTTCCAAACCCAAACAACAACAACAACAAAATTTGTTTTTGGGCCACATCCGGCAGTTTTCAGGGCTTACTCCTGGCTCTGAGCTTAGGGATCAGGACTGGTGGTACTCATATGAATGCTGGGGATAAAGCCTGCCGCATCAGCCACATGCAAGATAAGTGCCCTACTCACTGTACTCTCTGACTCCAGATATCAAGTCTAAAAGAATCTGGGGGTGGGAGTTGTTATACCCAGTGGTGCTCAGGTCTTACCTCTGGCTCTGTCCTGGCATGGCTCAGGGAAACATGGGGTACCAGGGATCAAATGGCTGGCTATTTGCAAGGCAAGTGTCTTAACCATAGTACTATTGTCCCAGCCCCATAATATAACTTCTTACTGTACTTTACATACATTAACAGTGAAAAATTAGAAACGACTTAAAAATACTTGAACCAGATTTTTTTGGGGGGCTGGGCACAGCCAGTGGTGCAGAAAGTGAAATTTTAGAGTCCCTCATGCAAAGCATTCCTTCTAGCCTTTTGACTATCGCTCAGAATGATTACACAATTGTCATCCCTGAACCATTCACAATAAATCTTGTATCTGTACTTTTGGGGGGGCTGGAGAGACAGTACAGTGGGTAAGGTGCTTCTGTAATGTTTAACTTAGTGCTTAGGGGCCACATCAGGTTGTGTTCAGTACTCTACACTTGGTTCTGTGCTCAGGAGACTATATATATGAAGTACCAGGATTCAAACTGGGATTGGCTGCATGAAAGATAAGTACCTTAGCTTCATGCTATCTCTCCAGTCCTAAATCTGTGTTGTGAGCAAAGCATGTTGCAAAATACCACACACTCACTAATCCTGTTGACTGCCGGCCTCCCAACAAATGCTCAGGGTAGAGCACTTGTCAGCACATGTGGCTGACCCAGTTTCAATCCCTAGTGCCACATATGATTCCCTGAGCCCTGCCAGGAGTGATCCCAGAACACAGCCGGGTACCTACCACACTACCTGCCCCTCCCAACCCTCCCACACAACCACTAAGCTGTGTTCAGTGGTAGCAAGGGTTTGGTGCTTGGACATGGTAATACCATCCTACTCAAACCCTGTTTCCCTGAGTCATGGCATGACAGAGCCAGAGGTAAGCCCTGAGCACAACTGGGTGCAAGGATGTTTAAAAGTCTAAAACTTGATATCTGGAGCCACAGAGTACAGTGCTGGAAGCTACTGGGACACACCCTGCAGTTCTAGGACTCTAGTCCTCTGAGCTGCACCTCCTTGGTCCAAAGTTTGAAAGTTCAGCATTTCTAACTGATTAAGTGGGAGAAGAGTGGCTTGTCAGCCCTGGAATCTGGCTTCCCTGAAGTATCACTAAGAACAATCTCAGTCTTGTGTTTAGAGGTCTCCGAGCACTACAGCATTCATCTAAGGCAGGTGGATGTTCAGTGTTTACAAAAAGCTTAGGCAGAATATTTTAGAGAAATTATATATATGTACGGACACTACCTCCACTACCCAGCCGTCGCCACATTCCAGGACGCTTTCCGGACCCGCCGACACATCATAAGACACTAAATACCCATCTTCCGGAATTGTCGTACCATATTTGATAGGGTTCAAATACGGTAACACCTACAAGGGTGATTAGAGGTCGCCCCAAAAGCCTCTATCCCTCTCGGAAAGACTGGCAAGCTACCGAGAGTATTCCGCCCACACGGAAGAGCCTGGCAAGCTATCCGTTCGTTGTGTATTCGATATGCCAAAACCAGTAACTACAACTGGTCTCAAATATATGTGTACACACACACACACACACACACACACACACACACACACACACACACACACACACACACGGTAGGCTGGAGCGATAGCACAGCAGGTAGGGCGTCTGTCGTGCACGCGGTCAACCCAGGTTCTATTCCTTCGCCCCTTAGAGAGCCCAGCAAGCTACAGAGTGTTATCTCACCTGCACGGCAAAGCCTGGCAAGCTATCCGTGACGTATTCAATATGCCAAAAGCAGTAACAAGTCTCACAATTTGTTGTGAGACTTTACTGGTGCCCGCTTGAGCAAACTGATGAACAACGGGGCTACAGTGCTATATGTATGGTGTTCAATGCTTGATATATGTACATATATATATATTGACAATGTTCAGGGCTTACTTACTCCATAAGGCACTGATGTGGGGGTAGAATGGGGGTGCTATTCCTGATGTAGTATTTGGGGTAGTGTGCGGTACCAGGGTTTTGGAGAGTGAACACAGACCTCCTACATGCAAGTACAACTCCAATTCTAGATTGCTGAGCTACTTTCTAGCTTACTGAAATACTCTGGGGTCATAACCAGTGATGCTCAGAGCAATGTGTATTTTTTTTGGAGGATGGGGTGAAGTGTGGAGGTGGTGGGATTACACCCAGCAGTGCTCAGGGCTTATGTCAGGCTCTGTGCTTAGAATTACTTCTAGTGAGACTCAGGGAACCATATGGGATGGTGGGGATCAAAGTTGGGTGGGCCACATGCAAGGCAAGTGCCCTACCCTCTGTATTATAGCTCTGGTCCCTCAGGGCACTGTATTTTGAACCAAGGTCAGTGACAAATCTTAGTTTCTGTCCTATTTCTCCATCCCTGCCCTGAGAAACCCCGCGACCGCTTTTTAAGGTTTTTGGGTTACACCTGACGATGCTCAGGAGTTACTCCTGGCTCTGCACTTAGAAATTACTACTGGTGGTGCTTGGGGGACTATATAGGATGCTAGGGATTGAACCTGGGCCAGTTGCATGCAAGGCAAGAGCCTCATCTCTCTACCCCCACTACCAAATATTTTATGGGGGTGAGCCCACTGAAAACCACCAACCAGGAAGCAGCCATAAGGCCTACCTTGAGGGAGCGGTTGTGGCGCTGCAACTCTCGGCACAGGCTCTCCAGCTTGCTCCGGGCCAGGATGGCCTTGCTGTGCTCACCGCGCAGGTGGTCCTTCTCCTGCACCAGTTGGCTCTGCTTCTTCTGTAGGAGCTTCATCTGCTTCTGCGAGTTCCGGTGCTCTTCCAGCTGGTGACCAGGAGAGTCTTAAGCCTTTGGGTGGAGTTCATCACCCACCCTGAAGTGGGGTGTTCCCTGAGATGACTTGAAATCCTACTCCCTTGATCCTGAGGCTAGGTATAAAAGCTCTGGCCAGACTGTTGTAGGGTTTTTACACACTCACCCCCTCCCTTTATTGGGGACCACACCATGCAGTCCTCAGGAGAATATGTTTGGTGCCAGGAATTGGACTGGGGTTGGAGAGAGGTGAGGCAAGGTAAGCACATTAACTGCTGTACTATTTCTCCAGCCCCATGTTCCCCCTTTTTGTTTTGCCCAATAACCCAGAGAGTCCCACCCCAAGACACAGAGACAGACACTCAGACAGGACAAGGTAAAGGTAAAAGGTAAAGGCCCTCCCGTTGATCGTCGATTTGCTCGAGCGGGCCCAGTAACGTCTCCATTGGAGACTTTGTTGTTACTGTGTCTGGCATATCGAATACTCTCGGTAGCTTGCCGGGCTCTCCGAGAGGGGCGGAGGAATCGAACTCGGGTCGGCCATGTTGGCCGCTTGTAAGGCGAACGCCCTACCCGCTGTGCTATCGCTCCAGACAGGACAAATAGGTCATAAAGCCAGAGGATCCCAATTCTCTATAGCTCTGACCCCAAAAAGAATGTTTTCATTCTCCCTTTTTCTGGTGTTTGGGCCACACCCAGCAGTGCTTAAGAGCTACTCCTAGCTCTGCACTCAACAACCATATGGGATGTGGGAATTGAACCTGGGTCAGCCACATGCAAGACAAGGGCCCCACCTGCTGTACTATCGCTCTAGCCCCAGAAAGGAACTTCTCAAGACTTTCAGAATGCTCAACTTTCAGACAAGAGCTGTTGCTACCCTCCTTGTACTCGGCAGACCTTTGTCTTGTCCAGTACTACCAAGATTTACCACCTGTTTGCCATTGCTATTATACTTTCATAGGGGTCACACCCAGCAATGTTTTGAGGGTCTGGAGCCATTCTGGTAGCAGAATGAGCTACCAGTATGATGATACACAGGAGTGCCCAGGGCCACATGGTGACAGAGATGGTGACAGAGAAGGCCATGATGAGGTGCCAGGGACAGAAGTTAGGGCTGTGCCAACACTGGGTATATGCTTTACCACTTAAGTCCTTGCGGGGTCCTTGGATCATCATTTTGTTTCCCTTTGACTCTTATGATCATCTTTGACCTTTTTTATTATTGACAATTTTATGACTCTGGGCTGAACCGATAGCACAGCGGTAGGGCGTTTGCCTTGCACGCAGCCAGCCCGGCCCAGGCGGGTTTGATTCCTCCGGCCCTCTTGGAGAGCCTGACAAGGTACTGAGAGTATCTTTCCCGCACGGCAAAGCCTGGCAAGCTACCCGTGACGTATTCAATATGCCAAAACAGTAACAAGTCTCAAAATGGAGATGTTACTGGGCCCGCTTGAGCAAACTGATGAACAACGGGAGGACAGTATTATGACTGTGGCATCACTCTCCTCACTTTCTCTTACACAAAGACCACACCTCAACCTTTACTCTTTTCCATGAGCCTGTCTAACGATGTACATTACAAATATAACAGCAATTATCCAATTAAAGTTTTCTTAGTACACATATTAAAAAGGAATTGGAGATTCTCTAGAGAGAGTAAAGGACGTAAGGTCTTATTTACATGAGGCTGTGGTGGCCATGATTCCAGTTTGAATCTCTGCCACCACATTTGGTCTCTGGAGCACTGTCAGAGTGCCAGAGCACAGGAGCACAGGAGTAGTCCCTGGTACTGCTGGGTATGGAACAAACATTCCCTCCCAATTAAACAAGGAGGTTAAATTAATACTTTAAGTATTTTACTATTTACTTAAGTAGTGGGCTGGAGCAATAGCATAGCGGGTAAGGTGTTTGCCTTGCATGCGGCCAACCCAGTTGGCCCAGGTTCGATTTCTCCGCTCCCACGGAGAGCCCAGCAAGCTACCGAGAGTATCTCGCTCGCACAGCAAAACCTGGCAAGCTACCCGTGACGTATTTGATAAGCCAAACACAGTAACAAGTCCCACAATGTTACTGGGCCTGCTCGAGCAAATCGATGAACAACAAGAGGACAGTGCTACAGTGCTACTTAAGTAGTATTCTTTATAAAATTAAATAGTGTATTTTTAATTTTTTTTTGCTTTTTGGGTCAAAGCTGGCAATGCTCAGGGGTTACTCCTGGCTCTGCATCAGGAATTACTCAGAGGTGCTCAGGGGACCATACTGGGCACCAGAGATTGACCCTGGGTAGGCCGCATGCAAGGCAAATGCCCTACCCACTGTACTATCACTCCAACACAATAGAATATTTCTTATGTTGATTTCTGGGCCACACCCAGCAGTACTTAGTGATCACCCTTAGCAGTGCTCAAGGGACCATTAAGGGTGGCAGGGACTGAACCCAGGACGGCCATGTACAAGGCAAGTGTCTTACCCACTGTACTATCTCTTAGGCACCTATTTACTCTAATTTTTTTTCACCCCACACCCAGCAGTGCTCAGGGTCATTCCCTGACAGTGCCTAGAGGACAACCACATACAATCAGGGAATAAATCCAAGCATCCTGCACGCAAAGCATGTACTTCAGCCCTTCAAACCATATCCTCTGACCCAAACCCACATTTTTAAACAACTAAGGAAATCTCTCTATGAACTGAGAATTAAAGAAGATCAGGAGATATTCTGAGACATGATGTAAGGAGGGCACTGTGCACTTCCCTATTTTGGGGAGATACATGGGATTGAGAGGAAATGGTACCTAGATCTCAGGCCTGGGCTAGGGCTTTACCTCTGAATAGAAAGTTTCTCTTCTCTAAGTGCTGAAGAGGTTGCTGGGATCTAACTCGCAACTAGACAAACTGGGAAAAGGCTGACAGGCTTTACAGGAAGTTACCAACCTGCCCCTGTCCCCTGAACCCATGCCAGGTGGCCAGAAAGGGAAGAACTGACCAGTTCAGCATACTTCTTGCATAGAGCTGCCAGCTTCTCCTCTGGAGTGCTCAGGGTGTTCAACGTCTGCATTAGCAATGTGATCTCCTTCCCTATAAAGCAGAGGAAAAGAAGTCAAATTCTCCCTTTACAGTGCTCTCCCCTATCATACTTACTACTTGATGAATTGGCTGCTTTCCTTGATAGGAAGCATGTGTCCTGAGACCTGGGAGCCTACTCAATTTTGCCTATCACTATAGCCTTGATACTGTTCCTATGCCCATCAGAGAGGACATGACTCAATGAAGACATTCTTAATTATTATTATTATGATGATGATATGAAGATGCTACACCAAGTGGTGTCCAGGGATCATTCCTGACAGTGATTCTATGTGGTAATGAGGATTGAGCCTTGGTCAGCCACATGCAAGGCAAAAGCCTTAACCTTGGTACTACCTCTCTGGCCCAATGAAAGCTTTATTAAACAAATGACTGAACTGCTGTGAATTCCTTGATTTCTTAGTGGAGAAGAATAAGAACCTGCCTACTCTACTCACAGGTGGGAAGCAAGCTGTCCCACTTGTTAGCTCAGAACTACAATGCCGATGCAAGCAAGGTCTCTTTGAAAGCAGAAGGGAAAGGAGTAGGTCTCCATGAGAACTACTAAACACAGATCACAGAAAGCCATGGTAAAGTAGAAGCTGAACATATGTTCTAATATTTGGTACCAAGAGTAAATGACAACAAAATCCTCCTTTAAATTAGGGTAAAAGGGTTCAGAGTAACTGCATAGCAGATAGGATGTTTGCCTTGCACGCGGTCTGGGTTTGATCCCTGGCATCCCATACAGTCTACCATGCACCACCAGGAGTAATTCCTGAGCATTGCCAGGTGTGACCCAAAAAAACAAAATTAAAAACAAAAAACAAACAAAAAAACCCCCGAAAAAACCAGGATGCCAACAAGTGGGTAGGTGAGAAGGGACAAAAACATGGCTATGCTTTTTGGTTACTAATTTGGTTTCTTTTTGTAACTTTTATTTATTTTTGGACTTGGGGGACCATATAGGGTGCGGGCCTTGTACATGGCTCAGGTCACCCATATGCAAGGCCAGAGCCTTACCCACTGTACTACTGTTCTGGCCCCTAACTTGGTTTCTGTTGTTTTACTGGGTCACATCTGGCAAAGCTTGGGGGTTACTCCTGGCAGTGCTTAGGAGATCCTATGTGAAGCCAGCTGATCGAACCTGAGTCGGCTGTAAGCAAGGCAAAATGCTCTACCGGCTTTACTATAACTCCAGGCTCAATCAGGTTTCTTTCTTTTTTTTGCTTTTTGGGTCACACCCAGCAATACTCAGGGGTTACTCCTGGCTCTGCACTCAGGAATTAGTCCTGGAGGTGCTCGGGGGACCATATGGGATGCCAGGGATTGAACTTGGGCCAGCTGTGTACAAGGCAAACACCTTACCCATTGCACTATTGCTCTGGCCCCCCCCGACTTGGTTTCTTTTATACACATTACTCCCCAACCCCCATGACTTTCTTCTCACTGTCTATACCTGTTACCTAGCTGTACATATCCCAGAACCAGGGCCCTGAAGTTGTCACGCCTGGAGACAAACATTAATCAGCAACTGTCAAGAGCTGTTGATTGATTCAGTAAACAAGCCAAATCCAACACTCAGATGGCTTCTCTTAGGGGCTGGAGAAATATTACCATGGGAACAGTGCCCGCCAACTTGGGGGTTCTATCTCTGGCACTCATGTGGTTTCCTGAACCCCACTATAATGACTCCTAACCACATGCCAGGAATAAGCCGAGTACCGTCCAATATGGCACCCAAATAAACAAACAAAATCCTTATTAAATACCTAGAGAAGGGCTTGAGAGATAGTAGAGATAAGGTGCGTGTTTTGCACACAGCTGACCCAGATTCTATCCCCTGTGCATTACCAGATGCAATTTCTGAGCACATCTGGTATGGCCCAACCCACCTGCACCTCCCCCTGCTCCAAAACCACAATAACAAAACATCTGAAGATTTCATGCAACTCCAGACTTCTGGCTTTCCTTAACAAAAAATGGGTCCAAGGATTCACTCGATGGGCTGGAGTATATGATTTCATGAGGGAAGCCAGGGTTTTATTCCTAGTACTGCATGACCCCCTACTGGGAGAGACCCTTGAATTCTGAGATGGGAATTGTCCCAGAGGCACCTTCTTCAAAAGATGGCTGATTATACTTTAACCTGTGTTATTAGCTTGCCAGGCCTGGTGATTCTCAACCCTATGACCAAGTCCTCCCCTCTCTTGGTCCTTACAGGAACCCTAGGCTACCTGGGCTTACCTGAGTTGTCAACCCTGGTCTAGTCTAATTCTCTTATCAGAGGGAAACGGAAACTAAAGACCAGAGAGCAAAAAGTGTTAACCAAAGTCACACAGCAGGACAGAAATCATACTGGTTGGTATAGGAGCCCATCATTATATGACTCTCTTATCTCAGAGAGAGAGTAGGCTGCATTTCAATTCTCACTTGCTTCTATGGAGCTTCTAATGCTAAGGTCCCATAACCCTGGCTGTGCTCAGGGGCTATTCTCAGCTTGGTGCTTGCTCCTGGTAGTGTTTGAGGGATAATGTGGTGGGGGGAAGAGAACCCAGGGCCTCACACAAACAGAACAAGTGCTCAACAGCTGAGTGATGTTCTGAGACCATAACCCTGACTATCTAAAACCGTGTGACTCCGTTCTCTAGGAAGCAGAATTTCCTTCGAATCTTCCAAGAGCAGACTCATCCAAAGAATGTCAAGGTCTAAACCTCCCTCCCTCACTAGCTGCCCTCTGCTTACCCAGACCCTTGGCTTTCTTCTTTTCCTGTGGCCTTCGGTGATTGCGGTCTCCAACCTCGTCACTTGCCCGGATCTCTTCTGTGACCGGTTCTCCCTTGGAGGGCTCTTTCTCACCATTCACAACTGGGTTCTCTGCCTCAGGCTCCCCATTCCTTGAGGCATAGGCCCGGGACTTCTCTGTATCTTCAGGTTCAGTGGGTTCACCATGTGCCCCATCCTCAGCTGGGCCCCCCTGATTGTTGTCTACGCAGTATGTACTCAAGATGTCTTCCAGCTGGCGGCTCAGCTCCTCAGAGACATCACGGAGGGCCCCAGCTTGTGCAGCTTTGACTTGGGCTCCTTAGAGCAGAGAACAAGAGGCAGTGAAAATTACAATGAGCTAGACCACTGGGTAAAATTTTTCTAGCCTGAACTTACTAGTGTTAAATGTTGCCTCACATTTCTTTTCTCTTCCATCTTCCAGGGACGGAAGAGAGGCAAAGGCATGTGCTTCCCCACTGAGCCACACCCCTGTCTCTAACAATGCCTGACTTCTTTAAGCTTTCCTCCCACTGTCTATGCCTGAGCACACCCACCCTCACCTATATTACATATAAATACTTAATTATCTTGGTGTCTGGGACTGAATCCGGGGCTACTTACATGTGAGGCCTGTGCCCCACCGCTAAAATAACTCTTTCCAACTATCTCCTGGACACCTTTGATAGTGAGGTGGTAGTCAAAAAGACATTAAGTCCACCGCAAGACAGTATGGTAGGTGGGGCGCTTCCCCTGTATGCAGCCAACCCAGGTTTAATCCCTGGCACCACATATAGTTCCCCAGTCTACCAGGAGTGATGCCAGAGTGCAGAGCCAGGAGTAAGCCCTGAGCACTGCCGACCAAGGCCCCAAAGCAAAACCCCCCAGCCCTCCCCCTCTTCTGCCCTAAACAGTTAAGAAAATAAACCAGTTGGAGAGGGTAGTATAGGAGGGAGGGCACTTGGCTTACATACAGCCAACCCAGTGTCAATTCCCAGCACCACATATCCCACTCCTTGCTGTATGCTCAGGGATCACTCTTAGTAAAGTGAGTAAGCCCAGAGTATTACCGGGTGGGGACCAAAACCAAACAAAACCCAGGGTTGACATTCATATTTTGCATGCAGCAGCCCAGGGTTCAATCCCAGAGCAAGCAGTAACCCTCAGTACTAAATTAGGAGTAGCCCACCTCCCCCCTGCACTGCCAGCTATGACCCGAAATTCAAAGGCGGAAGGGGAAGTGAAACATTCAGCACACAGGGATGGCAAACAGCCGCTCAACATCCAGGCTACCCTCTTTCCCTCCCCCCCCAATTTTCGCTGTGTGTCAGTGGATAGCTGGAGGGCAGGCTTTGCATGCAGGAGGCCCAGGATCCTTCACTGGCACGGCACCATCCGTGCACTGCACTAGGCTGCGAGTAGCTCCCGAGCATCTCCAGGCGTGCCCTGCCCAGCCCCCCTTAATCATGCCAGCTGAGTCCAGGGTTTTGGTTTTTTTTGTGTGCGTTTTGTGTCCACAACCTGAGGTGCTCAGGGACGGGTCCCCATCACCCACATGTGATGCCTGGGATCCAGCCACCACTGGCTATGTGCCAGGCAAGTGGCATCACGCCGGCCCGAGCCCCGGTTTCCCAACTTTTGCCACATGCCTCACGCTGCCTGCCACCCACAGGTGAGACGCTCCTAAGCTCCGGCCACTGACTGGGGCGCTCACTTGACCGACCCCCACCCTCGGGACGCCCGTGGCCGTGGTGGCCTCTCCCGCCCGGCCACCCGGGGCCTGGCACACACACCCTCCGTCTTCGCTGGAGCCCGACTGCTGGAACCTTCCGCGTCGGTCGCCGCCGCGGCCGGGCCGGTTCGCCCTGAGCCCCCCTCCGGGCCGGCTTCGGGCGGCCCCGGGTGGCCTTTCGCGTGGGAAGTGTTGTTCGCGTGCTTGGCGGCCCCATTCTTTTTGTCCTGGTTCTTCATCGCGGCCTGCAACGCTAGGTGAAGAGAAGGCGGGTCCTCGAGAAACGCACACGCTTGCTTTCCCCTCCCCCGACCCAGCACCTCCGCGCCGGGGGCGCCCCACAGCTAGGTGAGGCCCGGCGGGGACAAACGCTCCTCGCGCCCTCGGGTACGTCGGGGGGCGTCGCCGGGCGGAGCCTTTTCCGCGGGGGGGCGAGAGGAGCGGCCTCCTTTCTCCGCGAGAGCACGTCCCCGCCCGCCCGCCAGCCCCCCGCGGGACGCCCGGCGCCCGGCCCGGGGCCGACACTGACGTGGCGGGCCGCGCGCCCCGGCCCCTCCCCCGCCCCCCCACGTGGGCCTCTCGGCGCGCGCGCGCGCACCCACCCGAGGCCCGCGTGCCTCAGCCGCGCGGCCGCGCATGCGCACGGACGCAGCCCCGCCGCCCCGGCCCTCGCCCTCGCGTGCAATCGGCGGGATTCTCCTCAATGTCCGAAAGTGTCCAGGCCCACGGGCCCTCCGGTCGCCTCGTCCCCTCCTCTCGCCGCCGCGGTCCTTACCTCAGTGCCGACGCCCAGACGGCTTCGCCCGCTCTGGCCTCGCACCGGAAACCCGGGGTAACCTCTGCAGCAGAGCGGCTGCTCGCGCCGCAGCCAATCAGCAGGCAGCGCTGGCGCGGGGCTTGCCGGGAAGGAGGGAGCGAGGCGGCCTCGGAGGCGGGGGCGCCGGGGAGGCGGGGCGGGGCGGGACGGGCTGCGCGGCCCTCCTGGGATCCGGGCTGGCGCCCTCTTCCAGGATGCAACAGGAAGTCGGAGCCGGATCCCCCCCAGGAGGTCCGACAGGAACCAATCACGCTGCACGAACAGCCGCGTCGGGCTCTCTTCTGGGAAGCCGAGCCGACCTCGGCGCCCAACTCCGGCATCGGCAGCCAGTTCTTCCCCGCCTCCATCCGCCTTCTCCCTCCCGCTGTCCCCTTCGCCCGCTGGGATCAGGGTTCACCTGCGTGCTGCAGCCAAGGGATCAGGACTCCCCGGGAGCTCGGGACTCGGGTGCCAGGGATTACTTCATACACTTGCGAAGAGGCTGGCCACGCCTCTCTCGTTGATGAGGAAGGCAATTGATTCGGTTTCCGAATCGGACAGAAGCTTTTTTGGTTTGTTTTACCCTGGCTCTGGCCCCTTGGGGCCCTCTTTGGAAGGCTGAGTTTAGCTCAAGCAGATTCTCAGCTTTCTTTCTGGTTCATCTACAACATCCCACCTGCACTGAGTTTAAAAAGCCAAAATGTAGGGCCGAAGAGATAGTACAGTGGGTACTACCCTTGCACACTGTCGACTTGGGTTCCGTCTTTGGCATCCCATATGGTCTCTGAGCACCTTAGGAGTGACTCCTGAGTGCCGGGACAGAACTAACCCCCCGAGCCTTGTATGTGGTCCCAAAGCTGTCACTGTCTTCCCGTTGTTCATCGATTTGCTCCAGCGGGCCCAGTAACGGCTCCATTTTGAGACTTCTTGCTACTGTTTGGCATATCGAATACGTCAGGGGTAGCTTGCCAGGCTTTACCTTGCAGGTGAGATACTCTTGGTAGCTTGCTGGGCTCTCCAAGAGGGGCGGAGGAATCGAACCCGCCTGGCCGGGGCTGGCTGTGTGCAAGGCAAACACCCTACCGCTGTGCTATCGCTCCAGCCCAAAACAAAACAAAAGCCAAAATGTGGGAACCAGAGAAATGGTACAGCCAGCTGTCAGAGTGAGCACAGAGCCAGGAGTAAGCCATGAGTACAGCTGGATGTGCCCCTTCACCAACAAAATTAATTAAAAAAGTTAACCAAGCTTAATCAGTGGCTGAATAAATAGCAGTACTCCATTTTAAAATAAATAATGAATTAAAAAAATAATGACCTGGGGCTGGAGCAATAGCACAGTGGGTAGGGCATTTGCCTTGCATGCGGCCGACCAGGGTTCGATTCCCAGCATCCCATATGGTCCCCTGAGCACCGCCAGGGGTAATGCCTGAGCACAGAGCCAGGAGTAACCCCTGTGCATTGCTGGGTGTGACCCAAAAAGCAAAAAATAAAATAATGACCAGTGTTTCTCCCAGGGTAAAATCACCTTTTGTGGGGAGGCACAGTGGCACACCCAGCTGTGCTCATGGATTACTCTTAGTTCTGTGCTCATGGATCATTCGGGGGGGGGGTCCTCTGCAAACAATATGGGTGCCAAAAATTGCACCCAGGTAGGCTACGTGCAAGGCAAGTTCTTTACCCACTTGTACTATCTCTCTGGCTCCTCCACATCAAACTTCTTTATCCTGTTGCCTGACGGTCATAGAAAAAAGAACAAAAACATTTGCCTGGGCTTGATCCCAACATTCCAGTCCATATGGTTCCAGGAGCACAATCAGGAGTGATTCCTCTGTGTACAGCCAGGAGTAAGCTTTGAGCATTGACAGGTGAGGCCACAAAACAAACAAAACAAAAAACTTGACTATGGCCTGGGATGTGGCTCATGGTAGAGCATTTACCTACTATGACTAAGGTCCTGGGTTCCGAACCCAGCACTGCCAAAAATTAATCTGATGAAAAAATGCCCTTGTCAATAAGCATATATAAAGTAAATTTGTTATGTGCCTTAAGGGAGCAGGTTGGGATTGAGAGGGAGACTGGGAATATTGGTAAAGGAAATGTCACACAGGTGCTGTTGGAACACTAAATACTTGAAACAAGTGTATAATGAACTTTGTAAGTCATGGTGCTTTTAATAAAAATTGGGCTGGAGCGATAGCACAGCGGGTAGGGCATTTGCCTTGCACGCAGCCAACATGGCCGACCCGAGTTCGATTCCTCCGCCCCTCTCGGAGAGCCCGGCAAGCTACCGAGAGTATTCGATATGCCAGACACAGTAACAACAAAGTCTCCAATGGAGACGTTACTGGGCCCGCTCGAGCAAATAAAAATTAATTTTAAAAAATGCCCTTGGACATAGTAGAGGTTAAGGTGCTTACCTTGAGTTGTGGCCCATCCAGCACAACATAGAGTCCCTCAAGTACGCACAAGAGTGATCCTGGGCACAAAGCACATGGCCTCCTGAACACCACCAAGGGTAATTCCTGAGTGCAAACTAGAAATTACACGAGTACAGAGCCAGGAGTAATTCAGGAGAATAAACCGGGAGAATTACTCCTGATTCTGCACTCAGGTATTACCCCTGACTGACCACTGCCAGGTGTGACACAAAAAACCTAGCATGCTGGCTAGTACAGAAGTTAAAGCACTTGCCTTGCAGGTAGATGACCTTGGTTCAATGCCTGTCACATGATCCCCTGAGCACCACCATGTGTGCCCCCAAAACTCTCCAAAAATATAGCAATAAAACTTTTTCTTGTGGGGGGAGTGGAGGCACACCCATCGATGCTCGGGGCTTATTCCTGACTCTGCACTCAGAAATTACTCCTGACAGTGATTGGGGAACCTTATAGGATACTGGGGATTGAACCAGGGTTGACCACATGCAAGGCAAGCACCCAACGCGTTGTATGATATATCACTCTGGCCACATAAACTGTCTTTTCTGTTCCCACTCATGTTAAAGACTTCAGGACTAGAGAATCTTGCCAACAAATCTTGAAATGTTCATTGAATTTTTTGTTTGCTTGTTTTGGGGTTTGAGGTCATACACAATATTGCTCAGAGGCCACTCCTGGTAGTGTTCAAGAGACCGTACATGGTTCTGGGGATCAAAGCCTTAGTTCCTATGCTGTGTCCCCAAGTTTAAGTTTAAGCTGTCAACATCTCGGGTTAATGCTGATAGAATTATACAGATCTAGTGAACTAAGGATGCTCAGCCCCGATCCGAGTAGGCTTGGACATCTTAACCCTGGGACAAGCTTGCCTTTGTCCCTCTGCCGGTACCTCCAGGTATGCGGAGAGTGGTCTCAGCATGGTGGTGGCTGGTCCTGGAGGTCTTCGGCTGCCAGAGCCCTGGTCAGGGCGGGGAGGAAAGCTCAACCCGCTCCCCTCCAAGGGGCCCTGGCGAGGACAGCCAGGCGCGGGGGCAGGAGACTGCATTCGCGGTCGCGCGACATCTTATTATGATATCTTATTATCTCATTCCTACTTTGGACAAACTGGCAGGCTACCGAATGTAACCTGCCCACAGGGCAGAGTCTGGCAAACTCCTCGTGGCGTACCCAATATGCCAAATACCAGTAACAATGATGGGTCTCATTCTCCTAAAAAGCCTTAAATATAGCACTTTCTTAAAAATCTCAGGGCTAAGATGAAGGAGACGTTACTGGGGCCTGCTCGAGGCAATCGACGAATAACAAGATGGTCGTGATTCGTGAGTGAACTAAGATGCATTGCAGAGCTGAGAAAGTTCAGAAGTGTCCTTTGAGCTAGGCCTCAAGACTGCCAAAAAAAGGAGGGGGCTGGGGGCAGGTTTGGACCACACCTATACCAGGGGAACCAGATGCTGGCATCCGATCCAGGGTCAGATGCAGCTACAGCCACATGCAAGACAACCACCTTACCTGTTGTAAGGTCTAAGGCAGGGGGTTTTAATTGGTCAGTTTTAAGGATCATAGGATTGAAGAGGGTTGTGAACCATACTGTGCAATGCACATAGCTGAATTATTGCCAACAACCAGTGGTGGGGTGGAACAAAAAGCCAAGGTAGACAAGGGGAGGATAGAAGTAGCATCTGCCAGAGACAGGGAAACAATTAGCATTAGGAATAGAGATGACTGTGATGAAATAGAGCAGCTCTTGCAACTTTTTTTTCCCTTGAAAATATTCTAGTAGTAACTGAGGCTCAAGGGGCCAGATAGTACAGCAGGTAGGGTGTTCTGTCTTGCATATGGCTGACCCTAGTTCAATCCCCAACACCCTATGTGGTAATTAATTCAAAGTTGGGTCTCTTGACCCAATATTTAGCCTTCTTTTGGAGTGCATGAACTTTTGTAAGCCCAAAAGTTTTGGGTTTTGCTCTTTTTTGGGCAACACTGGGTGATGCAAAGGGTTACTCTTGGCTGTGCTTGGAGAGCCTAGGTCATGCCAGGAATCAACTTGGATCTTCTACATGCAAAACATGTATATGCTCCAGGTCTTAGAGCCATCTGTCTGGCCCTATCATCTCTGGTGTTGGAACTGATCTAAATTACAGAGCAGTTTGCACAGTGTGTGACATCAAAGAGAAAATGTAGAGCTCAAAAGGTTGGAGTGCATGCAAATGCTGGAGGCTGAGATTTGATACCTCATACCACATGGTCCCATGAGCACTGCCAAGTGTGGTACCAAAACCAAAAGAAAACTTAAAAATCCTTTGAGAAACTTCAGGACATGCAAAATCTATTATGACAGAATGCACACCAATAGTTGCTTGGGTTGGGGTGGGAAGTGTCATGGGACTCAATGAAGTATCTAGAGGTGATATATTCACTGACATGGATGTGGGGATGATTTTATCACACAACATACAGGCACAGGCCACATACAACACACAGGCCAACATTTGCAAAGTGTACACTTTAAATATGTGCCAGTAAATCTGATGAAGTCATAGGAGCTGGCTGTGCTCAGGGCTTACTCCTGGCAGTGCTTGAGGAACCATATGTGGTGTTAATGGGTTGAATTCAGGTCAGCTGTGTGCAAATCAAGCACCTTAACTCCTGAACTATCTCTCTGGTTTCCCTAAATATTTCATATCTATATGTATATATACATACATATTTGAGGGGGAGGGGCACTCAGCAGTGCTCAGAACTTACTCCTGACTGCATTCAGGAATAACTCCTGGTGGTGCTCAGGGGACCAAAGCCAGGTCACTGCATGCAAGGCAAGCACCCTACCCCGCTGTACTCTCTCTCCAGCCTCTTAGGTTACAAGTTTAGACACTTGAATCACAACCCATTCACATCTAAAAAATTCAGTCTAGGATAACTCCAAAGAAGAGAAGTTAGAACTTTGCAACAGGTTTTTATTTCTGCTTTATTATCTATTACAGTGTTTAAAACCTAAAGAAATACACTTTCTCTTCAAATTTGGATGTGTATATAAATATCATTTGTTTGGACTCAGCACACTCAACGCCACGGTTTCTTGGCCTGTGTTTTCTCTGAAATCGTCAAGCTTTGTCTGTCTACCCAGGGGCCCTGAGAACATGGAAAATAGCATTTGTAGTTTTTGGAAAACTAAAAGCAAATGAACTTGAAAAGAAAAACCAGTGAGGAAAAGGATTTGAGTCATTTTCCTAGGATCTGTAGCTGAGAACCCAAGCTTGTTCTTGCCCTCAAGATATATAATCTGTTTTGAGTGGCAGGGACCCATACACTTTGTTTATTCAGTCAAAGGTAGTTCCCAAAAGAGCTGGCAAAAGAGGCCAATGCCCAATGTCAGGGTCTGAGGAGTTGGCTTAGAGGCCAACATTTTAAGGAAGTCACTGAGTCAGTTTCCTGCCAGTTTTAGGATCTGCACACCAACTTCCTTCACTGCCTCCCAGAGCAAGGCAGTTTTCTCTGACTAAAATCCATGGCCCAAAGATCTGATCTGCCCAGGTGAGCAGGGTTAGCCTTCAGCAGAGGGGTTCAGGTATGTGCTAATGTGGACATAAGCAGTTAGGCTGGCCTGGAAGTAGTGAGGTAGGCCCAAACCCACTGAAGCCCTTTGTCACATGCTCCACAAACCTTTCTCCTGGGGTATTCTGAGTCCAAAATTTAATCCTGCTTCCTACCCAGTTTTGGTTCTACACATAGCATAGGCTTCTTGAAAAATGCCCTTAGAGGAAAAAAAGAACAGCTTTAATTCACATCTAGTTGGTATTGACCTCAAATTTGTCCCTTGCCATGGTCTGGGGTGGGGCTAGATTATGGGATGACTGATTTATGAAGGCCTTGGCCAAAGAGCAGCTAGTGTCTACCACATGGATCCCTGTAGGGCCAAGTTTCTAATTTGTTGGCTTAAAAGGATCCAAAAGTTAAGACACAGGGAAAAAATAGACGAGATGTGCAATACTATAACAGTTGTAGAAGAATGCTACTCTGAATAATTTCTCACATTCACTTTTTTCTAGTGCAGCCCTAAGTGGAAGATGTTTCTACTGGTCATGAACATTTCCTATAAATCTCGGTGCACTGCACCATGCACCCTTTCCCACCCTGCTAGGGAGGCAGACGGGCACACATATTCCTGAGACCCCAGTCATATTCTCCCTACGGAGTCACTGGAGAATCTGGCTCTTTGCCTTCCATTGAGATTGAGAACTGAGGAAGACCCACTCTGAACAAGTCGAGGGGAAAAGATATGAAAAATGATTTGGGATTTTCAAAGAGAGGCATATGTAGGATGTAAAGAGGAGTACTGCTAGGCTTTCATCTAGTTGGCTAGCAATGGGTAATTCTGGGATATAAGGGGTAACGAAGGTAGGTAGACATGAGGTGTCTTCTGCGACAGAGTGTAGATATCAACATTCCAGGTAAGAGAGGTCAAAAGTCCCTGAAAACTGAGGTTACAACACCTGTTCTTGGAAAGAGTCATTCATGTCCACTTCTTGAGTTAGAGGAACCCAATAACCACCTGAGGTGGAACCGATGCAGTTCTACCAGAAGGTTGAAATTACTGGAGAGAGCCGGGAATTGAAGGCGGGCTTCTAAGATCAGAGACCAATAGTAGTAGGGAAGACAACTGGGGGAGAGATACCCAGAGGGGTTAGTGATATTCAAAACAGTGAACACTTTAGTTTTTTTTTCCCCAAAGGCTCAGGTCCCCTTTATCTACACTTAGATACCTCCAATCAGAGAGGTCTTTAAATGAGTAACTAGACATGAAGAGTCCCAAATTTTATCTTCTCAGGCTATTCTCTGTAGTAGGCTAGAAGCCTTCTCCATCCCTGCATCAACCATTATTCAGAAGTCTACCAGAAAGTCTCACCCAGACCAAGGTCTGGAGCCCAAATGGGGCGGTCCATGAAGATGCCAGTGAAATCTGGGCTAAAGAAGAATTTGCTTCCCAAATGGCCTAAGGACATGAGAAAACACAAGTGATGATGTTATAGCCTCTGTGAGCTGCAAGAATTTCACTTGTTGACTGAAAAGCGGGTGGGGGGGTTAGAAGAAGATAATGGGAAAACAGTCTAGGGAAGACATAAAGTAAAGTTCCTGGAGACCATTTTTTTCTGATGAGAAATCTGTCCTCAAGTCATGTCTTGGAAGACTTTGGCCTTGAAGTACTTGGAGAAGACAGGCTTTAAGCAGCAGCCAGATGATCTAATGTCTCCCACATGGCACAGAGCCAGACCTGACGGGAACGGAGATTTCAGAGGAACAGAATGGCTAGGAAGCAGGATATGTAGGTCTCACAGGAATTTAGCGCCAATTTCACAGACTATTGCTTTAAGATGTAGAGAGTAGACCCACTAAAGTATTCTGCCCTTCAAACAAAGACAGGGGTGGGAGGGAATGGTTTTGCAGTGAAATCAAGAGCCAAGTGAAATAGCCCCGTCCCAGGCCTCCCTGGGGGATTGGTGTTGGTCAATTGTTCCTTAGGGAAAGAATGGCACCTGATTCACTGAGGTGATTTAGCACTGATGTGGCACTTCAGTGATAATCACTAGCCCCAAACCACCTTCCTTAGGAAACAGCTCTGGAGTTGGATCTAAACATCAGAAGGAGAGGGCAAAATCAATACCAATGGCCAGGAGTGAGCACCCAACTGGTATGTCTGTAGCAGAGAGGCTTGAATTTTACCTGAGCCTGAGGTAATGCACTGGAATGCAAGCAAGAATGGCACTATTCTTGGAGAAAGGAAAGTACAGCTTAGCACTCATGGACCACTGTAGGAAAGCAGCTGACGGGCAAATTGCGCCTTTAGTGCCATAGTTGTTCTATACTTATCTGACCGCTTTCTCCACTTCAACTCCCTACAAACTACGCTCACTATCCTATGTAATCCATAGGCAAGCCAAAGAGGCCCTGTACTAGCTTTACTCAAGAGGAGAAGGGATTAGAACTATAACTGTTACAAGGAAGTGCAAAACCCAAACCAGGAATAAGGACCCCCCAATAGGGAAGACACCAGAAGCTCTCATGGAAGTACTGAGGGGGCTGAGTTTCTGTAGTAACAGGATATACAGCCATGTGATAATCTATGTGCATGAGAGTCTGAGACTGAATCTGAAAAGGCAGACTGCTTTCTGGGTTTCCAGATGTAAGGATGCTCAGCAGGAAGGAATAGAGGGACAGATTTCACCAGGCCTTGGGGCCATCCTTGCTCCTTTAACTGCTGGGAAAATGAGATCAGACCGGCCTGCTATATATAGGTTCCAGAGTGAAAAGTTGGTCCTACGTGGCAGCCCAGTACCCAAGCAGAGAGGAAAAGGCTTCCTGAGCAAGGAAGCTTCCACATCTCTTTTTGGTCTTCCTTACAGTATCTTGCTTACAGAAATTACAGACAGCTCTTCCTCTTGAGACCAATTAAGATTGATCTACCTAATATATAGAATATAAAAAAATACAGAACTTTTTTTGGACATTCTCTCCTTTGGAAGTAAAATATACATGATCCAACTATGGAAGAGGAAGAAGAAGAAAGGCCAAAGGCAGGGATCTCTGGCTATCCCAATACATGACACTCTCACTCTCACCTCCTCTGTAACTTATGGGTCACCAGAGCAAGGACTTTCTCCTCCAGAGAAAGGAAGGACCACAGCCCCCCATCTCGGGTTTAGGAGAAAATACAGCGACCTCAGAGGTTCATTCAACTCTGAGGGGAATTTTCAAGTAAACAAATAAAGTTGGGTCGCACCATTGGAAGGTGAGTAGGAAACATGGGATCAGTAGCGACACATGGGAAGCCCTGTGTGAAGGCCTGTGCTCCTCCCCTCCACTCCCACTGGTGTACTTGCCCCTAACTAGAGAGGTCTGGGCGATCAGAGGGGGGAAAGGCATTTGTCTCACAACAGCCTCCACCCTCTGCCTCTAGTCCCAGACAATGCTGGCAGCTGGGATTCCTAAAACCAGGAACGCATGGCTCTTGGAAAGAGCAGTCTTAATACAAGAAAAATGTGCAAAAGAAAAAAAATTAAATAACTCAATCCAAGCATACAAGATTAATATTCTGTCAGAGCAAGAACACTTTGTTTTGAATTTCTCCTCTCCCTTCCCGCCCCTCCCACCTCTGGAATATTCCATCTGCTCAAGTACCCAAGATAAGAGTTACACAGATCAGGGCAGAGGACTGGGAAGAAGGAAGATATAAAGGAAGTCAGTCACCACTAAAGAAAAAAATAAAAATTAAAAAAAAAAAAAGGTGCAAAATTGATTACCTCAGTCCTCCTTTGTCTACCCCTGGGCTCCTGGGTTAAAGACATGTGTGCAGCCAAAATATAGTGTAAGGAAGAAAAACCCAACACGTCCCCTTCTTGTCACAAAACCCAAAAGTGAGCCTCAGATGGTTCTGTCTGTCCAGAGGGTGCTCCCTCCAGGGAAGGGGGTGGAGCAGGTTGAAGAGCACAGTCTTCCAGGGCAGCAGAGGTGTGTGGTGGCTAATGGTGGGGGGGCCTGGCTTCCCGCCCACCAGAGGGCTGCTTTTCCGCTGGTTGGTGGTGCTTCCCATCCCCTCCCCTCCCTGGAGGCAGATATTATAGCTGGAAGCCCTCCATGGGGGCCTCAGGCTGCTGGAAGATGAACTGTTGTTGCGTCTCATCCACTTGGGGAGCCAAGCTGCTATCATCATCTTCTACACCAAAATAGTGCTCAATGAGGTCAAATGCCTTCTGGTAGATTTCTTGATTCTCATGGCTCTGGAGAAACTCAATTTTATCCAAGCCTACGGTAGCAGAAATCAAGGAAAGAAAAATAAAATTTGAGTGCTTTTCTATGGGTCCAAGTAATATTTACCTTCTTTTCTTGTAGAGTTCAACCAGTGTCTTGTATATCCTTGATATCAACCCCTTTTCCAATGGGTCACTGTCACTTTCCCTGTCCTCCCGTTCATCGATTTGCTCGAGTGGGCCCAGTAACATTGTGAGACTTGTTACTGTGTTTGGCATATCAAATATGCCACGGGTAGCTTGTCAGGCTTTGCCATGCGGGCGAGATACTCTCAGTAGCTTGCCAGGCTCTCTGAGAGGGGCAGAGGAATCGAACTCAGGTCGACCATGTTGGTGCTGCGTGCAAGGCAAACGCCCTACCCGCTGTGCTATCACTCCAGCCCTATTACCTTTGTAATCTGGGCAAATCATTAGACTCCCAGAATCTTTCAGTGAAGAGTCAGAGCCCACCGAGCACTCTTACTGGAATGTCCCAGAAACTTAGCTGCATAGTTCTATTATCAGTTCTGAATCTTTATTTTCACATTTGTAGCGTACCTACTTCCTACTAAATGGGTAGATCCGGGGGTTGGAGTGATAGCACAGTGGACAGGGCATTTGCCTTACACGCAGCCCGACCCAGGTTCGATTCCCAGGATCCCATATGGTCCCCCGAGCATGGCCAGGAGTAATTCCTGAGTGCATGAACCAGGAGTAACCCCTGTGCATCGCTGGGTTTTACCCAAAAAGCCCTCCCCCCCCAAAAAAAGGGTAGATCCTATTAGAAAGAGAAATAATCAGTGGATCTTTAGTGAAGGAACGAGGCCAGCGATACAGTACAGGGATTAAGGCACTTAGCTCACATGGAGCCTGCCCCACTTGGATCCTCAGAAAGCACCTGGATGCCTTTCCCAAATGCCCTGACATAAGCGTATCACTTAAAGGCCTGTAGTCCCCAGGACTGCCAAACTGAGAATGTAACTCAGGGGCAGGGCACATGCACAAGAGGCCCTTGATTCACATTGGCACTATTTAAAAAGAAAAGCTAAAAAAACCTTTCTACTAAGGCAGAGGCAACGCTGGGGAGAAGGGACATACCGTAGGCTTCCTCAATGAGGCCACAGTAGGGATTGACCCCTGAGCCACTGCGCTTGCCTTCTTGCTCTCCAAGCCGAAGAATGTTCTCCAATCCGTTGAGGGCCACTTGCACTATCTTTGAATCCATCACAGTCAGCAAGTCACACAGGGGTTTGATGCAGCCCAGTGAGACCAGGTATCTGAGGTCAGAAACCAGGCAAGAGGTTGTTAGGCAGATTCTTGTAGAGCTTGTAAATCTCCTTACTATCCACTCTAAGCAATCCCCAGGGCCTTCATACCCACCCATCTTCTAACTTAAGTTCTGCATCCTTTCAATAGTACTGGTCACCAACTCATTTGTATACGGAAAGCTGCATTAGATTCCTCCTTGTTGCTAATGTTTTCTTGCTGCAATATTGTCACTCTAAAAACATCATTTCTCTGCTTAAAAATTCTTACAGTTCAAGCTCTAAAGGTATGATAGATAGCACCGTTTTAGTCAAACTGGTTAGAGTCTCCTGATTTTTGTACCTTTACTTAATGCTTTTTCCATTTCACCAGGCCTTTTATAGGCCCAGGTACAGCTCAATGGGTTGCCATGCACAAGGCCCTGGGTTCAGTCCCTGGCACCACAGGCCTCCTGAGCACCACTAGAGAGGACACCCCTCAATCACTATAAAAGATGTAGACAGGGCTGGAGCAATAGCACAGCGGGTAGGGCGTTTGCCTAGCACGCGGCCGACCCGGGTTCGATTCCCAGCATCCCATATGGTTCCCTGAGCACCGCCAGGGGTAATTCCTGAGTGCAGAGCCAGGAGTAAACCCCTGTGCATCACCGGGTGTGACCCAAAAAGCAAAAATAAATAAATAAATTTAAAAAAAGACGTAGACACACCCCAAAGAAAGGACGAAAGGCTTTTTACAACCTGTATGCCTCCTTTAAAGATGAACTCAGTGGCTATCTCCTGACTCTTAAGGCTTCACATACACTAAAATTACTCTCCACAATACCTCATCCCCCCCATAAGTTACATATTAGAGTCAACAACAAACTTGCCCAATTCCACTCCTACTCACACTGATGAAAAACTAAAATCAGTGAACATAAACACATTAGAGCATTCTATGTGCTCCTTCCCAAGCATCATTTACCCACAAATGATTTCTCAGGAAGCTGTTTTGAAGGAGTCACAGCAAGGTTCTCTTTCATTTTGTATGGCTAGCTGAGAATTATAGACTTAAATTCTCTGGTGGGTAGGACAGAGACAAGAAGAGTGTCTGTGTCATAGGTTGTTATTTTCCAGAACACATGAGAGGCACATGGTCTGTTGGTATCTACTGCAGGTTCCAATGTCACTCTAGCAACATAACAGTGAAACTCTACTGTGGTTGGACTGAGGTAGAACCTAAAAAAACAACTTCAAACTTATATATAAAGGCAAAACACATTATTCAAGACAGTGGGAAAGGAATGTGATACCTGATTTGCTCAGGGGTTCCTCCTGATGTGGCATTTGTGATGGCCCAGGCTGCTTCTTTCCTTGTACGGAACTCTGCTTTCTGAAGGATTTCAATCAACACAGGGAAGATATTTGCATCTATGACAGCCTGAGAGAAGATTTTTGGGATTAGAGGAGGGGGAGAAAGCAGATCACTTCCAGAGAAAGCAAAGCCAGCCCACAAGTTAACTAAGACTCAGGTACCTGCCCTTTTGGAGAATTCTGTGTTCTTACCATTTTGGTGAGGGGCCTGACTCAGAGGAACCTGACTTGCCATACATAGAACCTTTGACCAGTAAATGACCCCGATTTCTAAATGAAAACACACTCCTTTTTTTCTATAAGCAAATATCCCCAAATCTCTTATGTTCCTATGCCTTTAAATCTGTTGCCCTATTCCCACCAAGACTTGACTTTAGGTTGTTTTACCTGTATCTGAGCTCTGTTGCCAGCAGTAATATTTGAAATCGTCCAGCAAGCTTCCTTCCGGATGGACTCCTTGGGACTGCTCAGCAAGTGGAGGAGGCAAGGGAGAGCTGAACAGTTAAGAATGACCTAGAGAGAGTACAGTGGGTGAGGTGCTTGCCTTGTATGCAGCTGACCTGGGTTTGATTCCCGCACCACATATGGTCCCCCAAGCATTTGCAGGGGTGGTTCCTGAGCAGAGAGTAAGAAGTGAGAACAGCTGGGGGAGGTGGGGAGGGAGAACAGAAAGGACCTAGAACACCTGAAGCAAAAGCTACAAAAATTAGATGAATTTTAAAATCGAAATTTTAAATTTGGGGGCTGGGGGGGCTAGATTTGATAGTACAGCAGGTAAGGTATTATCCCACTGATTTGTGCCAACTACTCAGGACTCGTATTTCCAGCCTTTGAACAGAGAAACCCCATTAAATGTGCCTTCACATGAGGTGTAATTAACAGAAATTAGTGTCCATGTCCTAACGGTCTAGAGCAGGGACGAAGTCCATAGCTATGAGTATTCTAAAGGAACTCAAAACTGTTAACAATTATTCCATTTAGTTTTCTTTCAAAAGCCTTTAACAGGTGATGATTAGTTCCCAACGTATAGAAGAAATTAAAACAATCAAATTGTCCAGGATTATATTCTAGGCAGAACTGAAATTTTTCACTTAAGCCCAAGCTTTCTCTTCTAGACCATGATTCCTCCTCTCAGAACTGAAGTCCTTGGCGGGTAAAGGTTTTGTCTACAGAATTTACCTATCTTCCTTACCTGGGTCTGGATGTCATCCCCAGTGACGATGTTTCCCACAGCTCTCAGGGCTGGAGAAGCCACTTTGTAATCATTGTGCCTACAGAGAAAAAGAAGATCTGATCATGGGGCCAGAGGCAGGTTATAACCATTAGGGTGCTTACTTTTCATGCAACTGAGCTGGGTTATATCACGGAACATCCTATATGGTCTCCTGAGTACTGCCAGAAATAATTCCTGAGCACAGAGCCAGGAGTAAGCCCTGATCACCACTGGGCATGGCAAAAAAAAAAAAGTAGATCTGATCAGTAGAGAGCCAGCTGACCAACCACCAATGCTGGCATTCTCTTATGGCTCCAAGACCTTTGGGTAGCTTGGGGAATCTGTACTCTGAGACTACTTACATTAATAGTTCCACCAATCTCCGGCAGACTCCAGAGTCTATGACTGCCTGGATCTTCTCATTGGGGCCATCAGACAGGTAAGAAAGGGCCCAGCAAGCATCTGCCAGCAAGTCTGAGTCACTGCTGAAGAGTAGGCGAGAAAGCACAGGCAAACAAGGGGAGACCTGTTGAAAGGAGCGGAAGGCACTTACAGGGGGACAGGACTCCGGTTTACCACTCATTCTGACATTGTGTCCCCTCTGCCCCCCACAAGCATACTTTAGACTTCTTCACTACATTAAACAGACCCTTCTCTTTCACTTTACCATCCAAGCATACTAATCTACCTATGACTATCACTTCTTTAGGTTTCCCATAATTGAGAACCCCCCAAAACTTCCCAATAAAAATTCCTGACATGGGCTGGAGCGATAGCACAGTGGGTAGGGCGTTTGCCTCGCACGCAGCCAACCCGGGTTCAATTCCCAGCATCCCATATAGTCCCCCAAGCACTGCCAGGAGTGATTCCTGAGTGCAAAAGCCAGAAGTAAGTAATCCCTGTGCATCACCAGGTCTCTCTCTCTCTCTCTCTCTCTCTCCCTCCTTCCTCTCTCTCTCTCTCTCCCTCCTTCCCCTCTCTCTCTCACACACACACACACACACACACACACACACACACACACACACACACGTCCTGCACATGAAGGAATCTGCTGTTACACAGGAAACAGATCTCTCACCTTTGCAAACTCAGGGGGTGGATTTTTCCCTCGGCAGAGATTTGACAGGGCCCAGACTGCATTCCGTGTCATTGTCAGTCGTGTGGACTTGGTAAGGAGTCTGAAGGAAACAACAGAGCCAGATCCTAAACAATGATAGCCTTGACTGGGTTGTTGCCAAAGAACCTCCAGAGCACACTCAACAGATCTAAGATTCTATCAGCTTCACTGTTTATTTCTATCTGCAACCCTATGTTATATTTGGGCCCGCAGGTTGTCCTAGATCTTCACAAAGGATAAAATCTGTGTGTGACTGTTAATGCCACAGCTAATTAGGACTTGGATCTTAAACAAGCCTGCAGAACTTTAAAGATATGCCATACTGCACTCCTAATAGTGATCACAAGTTTTAAATAAGGTTACTTCTTGGAGATTAAAGCAGATCTCACGTAGGTCAAAAGAGTCTAGACATGAAAAAGTGAATGATTTTCTATGAAGAACTTGAGAAAGATTTTCAGTGGTAGCCTATAAGATTTGATCTTTATATCCTATGGTGCCCGAGACCGAACCCAGGGCTTCACACATGCAAGGCATGTGTTTTACACTGAGCCACATCTCAGATCTTGGTAGCACAGTCTCTAGAGTGCAATTCAGTCACCTGTTTTGGTTCAGATAGAGCTCTACTTTAAAGGTATGGAAGAATTGAGATGAGCCTTCCCAGAGTTTTTCATGTGTGGTTTAACAGTTTTCCTCTAAGGCAATGCAAAAAACCATAGCAAATCAACACATTCAGTGGAGAAGCTGATTTTCCTTGGGCACAACTAGAGGCACAACCCTATTCTCAAAAGATACCTACATTTCCTTCGGCAAGCAGGATGCACCTTTAGTGTTTCTGTATTTACTTATCATCTTTTGTTAAGTTGTCCTGGAAAGACCTGTCATGTGCTACAGATGTGCAGGTGAGGTTCAGTTACTCACGTTAACAAAGGATTAAGGATGGAGCAGTTCAAGACGTAATCTCGGCAAACGGAGCTGTCTCCAGCTATGTTTCCCAGTGCCCAGACTGCCTGAAAAGGGGATGATGATACTGTTAACACAGACCTTGTGGTTTGAGTGAACATTTCATATTTGAAACACAGAAGGAGCACCCACCAGTTATCAGGACAAAAACCAAATAAAGGCCTAAGACACGCTCAGGTACCTTCCATGTTGGTATCCTTATTGAGAACTTGCCCTACGAGGACCTTTCCTCTAGAGTTCTTGGTTTGCAGGGAACAGAATCTATACTGTAACAGGAGGCAAACTAAGACCTTCCTATTCATACCCATCAAAAAAGAGAAAGTGGGGATGGAGCGATAGTACAGCGGGTAGAGCGTCGGCCTTGCGCACGGTCGACCCGGGTTCAATTCCCAGCATCCCACAGGGTCCCCCAAGCACTGACAGGATTTAATTCCTGAGTGCAGAGCCAGGAGTAACCCCTGAGCATCACTGGTTATGACCCCTCCACAAAAGAAAAAAAAAATCAAAAAAGAGAAAATGACTAGGAAGTTACATCTTTTGTGCCTTTATAAAACTGATAAAATACCACTGCCAGAACTTTCCCTGACCTTGAAGCTAAAGACATTTTTTTCTTTTTCTTTTTGTGTGTGTGTGGGGGTGTCACAATATTCAGGGGTTACTCCTGAATCTGCACTTAGGAACTACTCCTGGTGATGATTGGGGACCGTCTGGGATGCCAGGTATTGAAGCCATGTTGGTCGAGTGCAAGGCAAATGCCCTACCCACTGTACTATTGCTCCAGCTCCAAGAAATAATGTATCACTGTATCACTGTCCTCCCGTTGTTCATCGATTTGCTCGAGTGGGCCCAGTAACGTCTCCATTGGAGACTTTGTTGTTACTGTATTTGGCATATCAAATACATCACAGGTAGCTTGCCAGGCTTTGCCGTGCGGGTGCGATATTCTCGGTAGCTTGCCGGGCTCTCAGAGAGGGGCAGAGGAATCGAACTCGGGTCAGCCATGTTGGCTGCGTGCAAGGCAAACACTCTACCGCTGTGCTACCGGGATACAAATACAGCCCACAAAAGGAAAATAATTATTTACCCGTAACTCATCTGATAAGGGGTTAATATTCAAGATATATAAGGCACTGGGGAAATTTTACAAGAAAAAAAATCCAACCTCATTCAAAAATAGGGAGAGGAAAATGAACAGAAACTTCCTGAAAGAAGAAATACAAAATGGCCAAAAGGCACATAAAAAAAAATGCCTTATGAGGCTGGAGCAATAGCACAGCGGGTAGGACATTTGCCTTTGCACGCAGTTGACCCGGGTTCGATTCCTAGCATCTCATATGGTCCCCCGAGCACTGCTGCGTGTGACCCCCCCCAAAAATGCTTTACGTTCCTATCATGATGAAGACGCAGATCAAAACAATGAGAGATTAACTCACACCACAGAGACTGGCACACATCAAAAAGAACAAAAACAACCAGTACTAGTGCAGGTTTGGGGATATAGGGACTCTCATACACTGCTGGTGGGAATGCTGACGGGAAAACAATTTCCTTTTTGGAAAACAATATGGACATTCCTCAGAAAACTAGAAATGAAGCTTCCCTAAGACCCAGCAATACTGGTCCTGGGAATATACCCTAGGAGCCCAAAACACAGACAGAAGTCGGCTGCACTCCTAAGTTCATTGCAGCACTATTCATAGTAGCCAGAATATGAAAACAATCTAAATGCCCGAGAACAGATGAGTGGGTAAGGAAGCTATGTTGGATCTATACAATGGAACACTATGCAGCCATTAGGAAAAATGAAGGCATGAAATTGCTTATACATGGATGGACATGAAGAATCAAATGAGTTAGAGAGGAACATACAATGATTACAATCATTTGTCGGATATTTAAAAAATATATGAGAATAATACCCAAAGACAATAGAAATGAGAGCCAGGAGGACTGATCCATGGCAGGAAGCTTGCCCAAAAAAAGGTGGTGGGGGTGAGGGAAAGTAAAGTTAGGACAGAGAAGGGACCACTATGACAATGATGTTTGGAAATAATCACTCTGAACAAGCACTGAGTGCTGAAATGAGGTAAAGTGATATGCATGATACCCTTTCAGTAACAGCAGTACAAACCAGTGCCTAAAAGGAAAAAAGAAAGAATTAAAGTGTCTGCCATTAGAGGCAGGCTGGAGGGTGGGAGTGGGCGGTGGGGAACTGGGGACACTGGTGCTGGAAATACTGTGTGACTGAAAATCACGAACAACTTTGGAATGGTGTATTTCAGCAATTCAATAAAAAAAATTTAAAAATGACTATTGCCACTTGAAAATTATACCTACCTTTTTGTTCGTTTTTGGGTCACACCTGGAAGTACTAAGGGATCACTCCTGGTGGGCGCAGGGAATACTCCTGGCAGGTTTGGGGTGCCAGGAATAGAACCTGGATTGGCTGTGTGCAAGGTAAGAGCCCTCCCTGTATACTCTCTCTCCGGCAACCTCTCATCTATAGGTTCTGAAAAATGGATGCTGCTTTTTCCCCCTTCAATATCAGCTCTGATGCCAAATGCATGGAGTTTTCTCTCACCAACAATCTAATTCTCTGACACTAGCTGTATATCCAGCAATTCAATTCTGAAACCCTCATACTAGTCAGGACCCCACAGATTAAAGGTCTTGGTCCCATAGTACTCTCCCTATTTTACTTTCCCATTGTAAGTCCTAGGCACTAACTGGCTATAAAACCAGAAACTCCCACAATCCCTACAGTTAAGTCTAGAATGATTTTATTCAGGAGAAAAGACTTATGTTCACTAGAGCAATAGCACAGTGGGTAGGGCGTTTGCCTTGCATGCAGCAGACCCGGGTTGGATTCTTCCGTCCCTCTTGGAGAGCCCGGCAAGCTATCGAGAGTATCCCACCCACACAGCAGAACCTGGCAAGCCTGGCAAGCTCCCCATGGCATACTCGATATGCCAAGAACAGTAACAACAAGTCTCACAATGGAGACGTTCCTGGTGCCTGCGCGAGCAAACCAATGAACAATGGGAGGATAGTGCTACAGTTTACTATATGAATGTAACTTAGGAAGAGCTAAAGGGAAGAGATGCACAGGGTGAGGTCTCAGGCTAGGAGTGGGAATAGTCTAGAAGTTCCACTCACCAAATATACATCAATGTGTACACCAAATACACCAAGTACACATCACTAACCTGGTAACATTTCCAGCACCCCAACACTCCTAGGGAGACTAGGCTGGAGAAGGGTGTTGACGCGGACATTTCCATGCCCAAAATCCTTTTGGTCCTTCTAATGACAAGTCCCCATCCTAAGGGTATCTAACGGTTCAATTTTGAATCATCTCATAGGTGTCGATTCAGGTGTGTTGTAAAAGGCTCAAAATTAGTAACAATAAACAGTCCAACCACTAAGAAAATTCCAAGGTTTTAAAAGAGTGTTTTACCAAGATGAAAGCTGTTAAATAATATTATAGCACATGCTTGGTATGTGGAAGCCCTTAGTTTGATTCTCAGCACTGCATGATCCGCGAGTGTCACCAGGTTGGCCAAGGGGTTTTCCCGTAACACTGCTTGGGAGACCACCCTCCCCACATTAAGCCCAATATAATTACCTGTTCTTGTACGTCTTCAAAGTCTGAGTTAAGCAGCTCTATAAAAATGGGGACAGCCCCTGCTTCAATGACAATTTTGGTTTGCTGAGAGGTTCCAGAAGCAATGTTTGTTAGTGCCCAGGCAGCTTCAAACTGAAAGTAAGATTAAGTCATAATTAAATGATCATCCCAGAAAGAGCAACCATGCCTATCAGCTGCTTCAGACCAATAAGCCTCTTGCTCTTAACTAAAAGGGGGGAATAATTATCAAAACACCAAGACTTTTCCTCTTCCCCCTTTAAATGGCATCCAATGGTCCCAGGTCCAGTCCTGCACTACCACACACCCATGAGTCCTTTGGCAAGTCACCTTTTAATTTCCTGAGCTTCACTTTCTTCATTTCTGAAACCAGGATTAGAGTGAAATGGATCTCTCAAAGTCCCTTTCAGCTGAGCTTCTAGCAAATTACAATGGATTAAATCATCACCCATTTCTGATCAGAGGCCTAGAAAGGATAAATGAGCACCCTGGGTCAGATAGGTAATAGAAGTGGACCAGGGATAGACAGATAGTACAGGGGTTAAGGCGCTTGCCTTGTATACTGCCAACCCTGGTACGATCCCTGGCACCACAAATGGAGCATCACCAGAGGTCACTCCTGAGCACAGGAGCCAGAAACATCTGAGTATCCTTGAGAGTGGGCTCTCCCTACCCTCCTGCTCCCCACCAAAAGAAGTGTACCAGATCTGATTCATAACAAGAACAAAATCTATCGTCACATTGGTTGGATAGTGGTTAGCATAGCTGCTTTCCAAAATCAGTCTATCATATTCCAGTACTCCCCCTTAAGGTTCTTAGGGAAAGATTTTTGGCTCTCTTGGGGTCAACATCACTGAGGCAATGCGTTTGCTCCCTTTAAATATCCTCAAAAATTAGTTGTCTATTTCCGGAGAGATATGTCTGTAGAAATTCCTACGGCAATTTAATGAAAGGTGCTCTTTCAACTGGTGCCCTTCTACAGTAGGCTCACCTGTAATGTACAATTTTCGTTCCTCTTTAGAAACTCCACAAATCGATCCACTACTCCTGGAGTGCTGATAACTTCATCTATTGGAGGACTAGGCTCTGGAAGAGGGAGAAAGGAAACAGAAATAGTTAAGAGGGCTCTGGATGATTCACTCACCAGGAAGAAGTCAGTTCAACATCCTTCCTAAATACTCATCATCTTTATGCACAGCTGAATGTGAGAGTGAGAGAGAGAGAGGAAACACACACACACACACACACACAGAGAGAGAGAGAGAGAGAGAGAGAGAGAGAGAAGGGCCAATTCTAATTCAAGTAAATTTTGGCTTACTGAACCTACAAGGAGAGAAGAAAACCCAAGGGATGAGCAATTCCTAAACATTTCAACATTTCTGTTCTAGGGCTGGAGAGATGTCTCAAAAAGCTGGAGAATATGCAAGCACTCTATGCTGAACCCTGGAGTTCACTCTCCCATGCTGCATGTTCTCCCAAGCAAAGCCAGAAGTGGTTCTTGAGCATCAGGTGTGATTCCTCCAGAAAGATTGCTTACCATACTGAGGCAAGACCTATTTTTGGGAGACTGAATTTATAACAAGGTGGACACATTATAGGGCTAAATATTACTTTTTAAAAAAAAAATTTTTTTTTATTAGTGAAACACCATGAGGTACAGTTGTAGACTTACAAATTTTTGTGCTTGGGTTTCAGTTATACAATGATCGAGTACCCATCCCTCCACCAGTGCCCATTCTCTACAACCACCGATCCCAATATTCCTCCCACCCCCCACACCCCCCATCACACTCTGCCTCTGTGGCAGGGCATTCCCTTTTGTTCTCTCTCCTTTTGGGTGCTGTGGTTTGCAAAAGAGGCATTGAGTGGCAATCATGTTCGGTTTGTAGTCTACTTTCAGCATGCTTCTCCCATCCTGGGAGGATCTACCCAACACCCTTTATTTGGTGCTCCCTTCTCTATCTGAGCTGCCTTTTCCCCTAGCATGTGCAGCTGGCCTCTAAGCCATGGAGTGAACCGCCTGGTACTTATCTCGGCTATTCTTGGGTGTTAGTCTCCTATTTTGTTACTTTATGTTCCCCAGATGAATGTAATCTATGTCTGTCCCTCTCTTTCAAATATTACTGTTTTTTAAAAAGTATTTTTCTATAATTTTTCATTTTTGTTTTGGGGCCACTCCAGGTGATGTTCAGGGAATATGCTTGGTTCTTCACTGAGGAATTAGTCCCAGTAATGCTTGGGGGACTATATCTGGGATGCAGGGGATTGAAACTGAGTCAACCGTGTGCAAGGTAAGCACTCTACCCACTGTACCATCTTTCCAGACCCAATATGCATGAACTATGTACTACACACAGGTATAGAACACAAGTATAGCAGTGAACAAATCAAGTTTCTGTTCTTACAGGGATTACATCTCAGTAAGAAATATACATTGGGCCGGAGTGACAGCACAGTGCGTCGGGCATTTGCCTTGCATGCGGCTGACCTGGGTTCGATCCCTGGCATCCCATATGGTCCCCCAAGCATCGCCAGGAGTAATTTCCAAGTACAGAGTCAGGAGTAACCCCTGAGCATTGCTGGGTGTGACTCAAAAAGCAAAAAAAAAAAAAGAAGAATAAAAGAAAAAAATATACATTACGTTAAGTGGGTACTAAATATAATGGGGAAAAAGACAGCACGTGTAGCACAATGTACAAGATTTAAAATGTTGGAGTGGGGCACAGAGATGTGTCTAATATACATGAGTTCCTAGTTCGGGGGTGAGGTGTGTGGTGTGTGTGTATGTGTGTGTGGGGTGTGCACGTACACACACATGCAAAGGAACATTAAGTACTGAGGACCTACAATTGTAGACAGGGTGTAAAGATGCCAGGCAGAGGAAATAGCCGTGGCTTCTCCAAGGAATACCAAAGTCGGTAGAGCAGAATAAAAAAAGAGGAGTAGTTGATGAGGTCAGTTAAAAATAAACAAGGAGTTAGGTTGCATAAAGCTTCTCTAGGGCAGACCAGGTTTTGTACCTTTGGAGAGCAGTTTCCGGAATTTCTGTGTAGTTGCTAACTGTAGGTCAGCATCATCAGAAAAGAGCATCTCCACCATCTCCCTTGTTATCACACTTTCCTAGAACATAAAACAGGTTCAATATTTTGCAAATCAACACTGCCTTATATGAGCATACTGTCCTGCTTTCTTAAGACTTGAGGGCAACAGGAGGTAGGACATTTGCTTTACGCATGGCCGACCCAGGTTTGATTCCCAGCATCCCACAGGATCCTCTGAGCACCACCAGGAGTAATTCCTGAGTGCATGAGTAACCCCTGTGTATGGCTGGGTGTGATCCGAAAAGAAAAAAAAAAAAAGACTTGAGGACAACAAAATGACATAACATAAACCAGATCCACGGAAAGTAAATAATATTGGGTTGCTTTATGCTGAGATATTGAAAAGTGAGTCCTGGGGACCACAGTGATAGTACAGTGGGTAGGGTGCTTGCCTTGCAAGTGGCCGACCCGGGTTCAATCCCCAGCATCCTATATGGGCCCCTGAGCACTGCCAGGAGATTCCTTAGTGCAGAGCCAGGAGTAATCCCTGAGCATTGTCAGGTGTGACCCAAAAAGAAAGAAAGAAAAAAAAAGTGAATCCTATTCTCTGAGGCAATAGATGGCTTCCCTTATGCATTTTCTTCTCCATCAGACATAAATTCTCTAAACTGAAATCTTTTTAGATGCAGCTACAAAGGCACTCATGGAAAAAAGATCCATAGCTGTTGGCAAAGCTTCTAGATGACTGTTCTGCAGAAGCCCATAGTTCCCAGGCCCACGTGAAGCCCATGCACAGGTCTTACTTACCCCAGTAGAAGAGCTCACATAGGAGTCCATAAGGAGACTATCAAACATGGCTGCTTCTTCATTAATTAGTTCTACATTTCTCCGTTTAAAAAGCTGAAAGAGAAGACATCATGTGGTCATTTAATACCTCTACTGCAAACCACAACACCCAAAAGGAGAGAGAGAACAAAAGGGAATGCCCTGCCACAGAGGTGGGGTGGGGTGGAGGGGATGGGGCGGGGGTGGTGGGAGGGGATGCTGGGACCATTGACGGTGGAAAATGGGCCCTGGTGGAGGGATGGGTACTCGACCATTGTATGACTGAAACGCAAGCATGAAAGTTTATAAGTCTATAACTGTACCCTACGGTGATTCACTAATAAAAAAATTTAAAAAAGAGAGAGAGAGAAGACATCATGGTAAGGATACTCTGGAATAAAACAAAGAATACTGGGGCTGGAGAGACAGTATAGCTGGTAAGGTATTGGCCTTGCACATGCCCAACCCAGGTTCAATAGCCGGCATCCGATATAGTCCTCTAAGCACTGCCAGAAGTAACTCCTGTGGATTGACAGACATAACTCAAAAACTTAAAAAAAAACAACAAAACCTACAAACAGCAAGAACGAACCAAAGTTAACTGTCAAGGAAATGCTACCATAATTAAGATAATGGCGAGCTTAATATATTAACAAAGAAAAATAGTTGAGTTTATTTTCAGTTGATATAATCGAATGCATTTATTTATTTATAGTTTTGGGGTCACATCTGGTGGTGTTCAGTTCCACTTCTGGCTTGGTTCTTTAAGAACCATACAGTCCTGGAAACTGAATCTAGGGAATCAGCATGCAAGGCAAGTGCTCTACAACGAAGAAACACCCCCAGAGGCAGAAGAAACAGCAGGTTAGGGCACTTGCCTTGCACACAGCAGACTTAGGTTTGGTCCCCACATCCCGTATGGTCCTGAGCCCACCAGGCTGCAGAGCCAAGAGTTAGCCCTGAACACCGCCAGATGTGTCTCCCCCCTCCCCGCCCCCCAAAAATACCTCCTCCTGTTTGCCTTCTTTTTTTTCTTTTTGGGTCACACCCGGCGATGCACAGGGGTTACTCCTGGCGGTGCTTGGGGGACCATATGGGATGCTGGGATCGAACCCGGGTCGGCCGCGTGCAAGGCAAACGCCCTACCTGCTGTGCTATCACTCCAGCCCCTTGGTTGCATTTTTTAAAAGGGAACCTTTTGTTGTTGTTTTTTCCTTTTTTGGGACACACCTGGTTATGCACAGGAGTTACTCCTGGCTTTGCACTCAGGAATTACTCCTGGCAATGCTCTGGGGACCATATGGGATGCTGGGAATCTAACCCGGGTCAGCTGCATGCAAGGCAAACGCACTACCCGCTGTACTCCAGCTCCAAGAGGGAATTTTTATTACAAGTTTTAATATGCTAACACTAGTTCTACAATATATATGTGCTTCCATTTTTTGGAAGCACATATACATACAAACTGGAAGCATATATATTGTTGAACATTTTTTGGAAGTATATATATTGTAGAACTTCCAGAAATTCTGGAAGCATTCATATGTTCTATTTCTTGTGCTTCTATTTCTTAAGCATCTATGTAAAGGGGAAGGCAAAAGGATTAGAAAATCTGGTTTTGGGACCACACCCAGGGATGCCTAAGCCTGGGAGGGCTCACAGATCCATACATCGTGCCAGGGATCAAACCTGGGTCAATGTCCTGCTGCTGTACTATCTCTCTGGCACCCAGTTTCCACCATTTCTTTAAAACAAAATGGTATTTGTGGTCCAAAGGCCAAGTTACTTTTGCAAGGGAAGGTGAGAGTGAAGGCACACACCAATCATGATGGCTGGATTATTTTCCTCATGAGCTGTTTGGAGAATACTTTATTTAACTCACTTGTTGCTCTCGCTTCTGCTTTCGGAGCTGAATGCCCTCTTCCTCTCTCCTTCGTCTCATTTCCTCAGGGTTTAGGGCATTGTTCTTATAGCTCTTCATTCGATAGTTGTCTTTCCCTGGGCTTGCCATGGTCTCTAGAAAAAAAGGAAGATACAAATACATTGTAAAGGCACTTAAGAGGATAGCATTTCCTTTCCATTGGGTCTCTGTAATACCCTCCACTCCCCTACTTGGGGCACCACAGCTTTTCAAAACCTAATGATCTCAAGAACTGCACCTGACACCTCTAATACTACTGCCCCAACCAGTACACTTCATACCCTAATCATAGTAAACTTGTTAAAGGTGCTGTTTAGCAACTGATACATGTATAAAATAATTTAAGATATTAGATACGCTAAGTACTACTTAGAACATCATGATAAGAACATGTGTCTGGGTTATGGATAACAGAGCAGGTAAGGAGCTTGTCTTGCATGAAGCCAACCTGGGTTCAATCCCCAGCACCACATAAGCCCCTGAGCACCACCAGGTACAGCCCTGCAGGCTCCAAACACTGCCAGAAAACTATAAAATTGCCAAGGAGCAACACTGCATCCTTGCTCTCTGGAACTGAGTCACTGACCTTGTTGGTCAAGAATCACCAGGAGGAGGGTTGGAGTGATAGCACAGCGGGTAGGGCATTTGCCATGCAAGCGGCCGACCTGGGTTCAATTCCCAACATTTCATATGGTCCCCCAAGCACCACCAGAAGTAATCCCTGAGTGCATGAGCCAAGAATAACCCCTGTGCAATGCCAGGTGTGACCCAAAAAGGAAAAAAAAAATCACCAGGAGGAATTCCTGGGTCACCTGAGCAATGCTAAAGCTATCTATTGCTCTAAATTGGATAGTACAATTTATTTTACCTGGCCAGGTTAAATATATTTAAGTATATTTATAGGTCAAGTCATACACCTATTTCTCAAAAAAAATTTTTTTGGAGGGGAGGGAGTCACACCAACAATACTTAGGATTGTAGGGGCTGGAGCAATAGTACAGCGGGTAGTGCATTTGCCTTGCATGTGGCCGACCTGGGTTCGGATTTCCAGAATCCTTTATGGTCCCCTGAGCACCACCATGAGTAATTCCTGAGTACAAAGCCAGGAGTAACCCCTGTACATCACTAGGACTGTAAAATCAGTGCAAATGTCAAGACTTACAAAAAGGCAACTAATACCTTAACAGTTTTAAAACTTTATCCAAATATAATCAACATGTGAAATTTTAAATTTTAAAGTGATGATTTTAAAATGATAATCTGTTGTCAATGTTAATGATTTTATAATGTTAATCTGTGAACAAACTAAGAGAGCTATAAAAAGTTTAGTTAACATACCTATTAATTACATTTTTGTTTGTGGTGAAAACTTTTTACAGTTTTGAATATGGGAATACCCTGCCTGTTGTGTTCAGGCTCATTTCTGGCTTCAGGGATCATTCCTGGTGGTGCTTGGGGGGCCATTAGTGCCGTGCTAGGTAAGTACCCTACCCATGTATTGCTGTTTTGGTGTTGTGATGGAAGCATTTAAGATCCACGACTGACAACGTTTTTGGGGGGAGACCACAACCAGCAGTGCTCAGGAACAGAAACCCAGGCTCCCACATGGAAAGTATGGACTCTAGTCCTTGAGCTGTCTTCCTGACCCCAGCTACTTTCTAAGTATACATATACTTTAAAAAATTTTTTTTAATTGAATCATCATGAGATATATGGTTACAAAACTGTTTCATGATTGAGTTTCCGTCAAACAACATTCCAACACCCATCCCTTCACTAAGAAGCATACATATACTTTGGGGGGCCAGAGAGATAGTACAGGGGCAAGTATGTTGAACCCAGGTTCAATCCCCAGCACCCCATATGATCCACCAAACACCCAGTGGTTATGGGGGCTACTCCTGGCTTCGTGCTCCGTGTTTGAAAGTCAGTCCCACTGGGGTTCAAATGTTGGGGACTGAAGCTGGACCTCCTGCCAGACAAAGTATATGATCAGTATATTAAGCTATCTCTCTGGCTCCTAATTTTCATTCCTAGGAATCAATAGTTTGCAAAGGCTCTCTTTCTTCAAATCCTCACCAGTACTTATTACCCCTTCTTTATAAATCATTCTAAAAGAAAATATTTCTTTGTTATCATGGTTTTTACTTGCATTTTCTTATGACTGGTAATGCTGAGCTTGTACATACCATCTGTATGTCAGCTTTGGAAAAATAAATAAGTTCTTTGCCTGTATGCTTAACTGTTCTGCTATTGAGTTGTAGAAATTTCTTATATATTTAGGATACTTACCCCCCCCTTAATAATATGCCATTTCCACCCCCCCCAGTTACATGTTTGTTATTTTGTTGACTTCCCCTTCCCTTCCTTGTTTTTGCTGTGGGGTGTGTGTATGTGTGTGTTTATGAATGAGTAGGGTCATATACATGCTGCTCATCTGGAATCAAACGCAAGAGATGTGGGGATGATGCTAGCGATAGAACTCACAGTGCGCGCAGAGCAAGAGGGGATCAGTTATAATACCTAGGTCTTCTTCATTTTGTTGTAAAGGTTTTTTGTAAGTTTGCTAATTCAGCTCTGCAGTTTGATGCAGTTCCACTTTGTTTTTCCCTTAGTTGCTTGTGCTTTTGGTGCCTTAGCTAAAATATTCATTGCAAACACCAAGAACTATGATTTCTTCTATGAATTGTACGTTAAAGTCTCATAAGTCTTAAATCCATTTAAAACTGGTGAACTTAGTCATTTGAACTTAGTTTTCAATTAGACAAACAGCCCACAGATCACACTTTGAGAACTGCTACTCTGGCATTAACTGCTGGGTTGTGGACAGGTAAATATTAAACTTAAGCATCTATTAATAGTAAAACATGTCTTCCAGTGTGATGACAATGTATATTCCTATTATGCTCAGTTAAGAAATCCAGAGCAGGAGGCTGGAGTGGTAGCACAGCGGGTAGGGTGTTTGCCTTGCGCGCGGCCGACCCGGGTTCAATTCCCAGCATCCCATATGGTCCCCTGAGCACCGCCAGAGTAACTCCTGAGTGCAGAGCCAGGAGGAACTCCTGTGCATAGCTGGATGTGACCCAAAAAGCAAAAAAAGCAAAAAAAGAAAAGAAATCCAGAGCAGGGGCCGGAGCGATAGTACAGAGGGTAGGGTGTTTGCCTGGCATGCAGCTGACCCAGGTTTGATTCCCAGCATCCCATATGGTCCCAAGCCAGGAGTGATTCCTGAGTGCAGAAGTGCAGAGCCAGGAGTAACCCCTGAGAATTACCGAATATGACCCAAGAAGGAAAAAAAAAATCCAGAGCATAGGGTTGGAGCAGTTGTACCACAGGTAAGGTGTTTGCCTTGTACATGGTTCACCTGGGTTTGATCCCTAGCATCCCATATAGTTCCTCAAGCACCACCAGGAGTGATTCCCGAGTGCAGAGCCAGGAATAAGTCCTGAATATCGCCAGGTGTGGCCCTGAAACAAAAACTAAAATCCAGAGCATTGTCTTCTCTTATCTGGTCTGTACAACCCCAACATTCACTGTATCACTGTCATCCTGTTGTTCATCAATTTGCTCGGACTGACACCAACAATGTCTCCATTCGTCCCTGTCACAAGCTAGTGTAGCCCAACGGCATATTGGGAGCTCTTTCAGGGTCAGGGGGGTGAGGACCATCATTGTTACTGTTTTTGGCATATCGAGTACATCACGGGTAGCTTGCCAAGCTCTGCTGTATGGGGGGGATACTCTAGGTAGCTTACCGGGCTCTCTGAGAGCAAAATACTGCTTCGCTCTCTTTCGGGAGCTTTATTTTATAAGTCTTTGGATCTTGGTGGCTGATGAGATTACATGGCACAAGGGGGCGGGGGGGGGGGAGACATGGTTTGTGGGTGTGGCTGCCAAGCTACTGGAAAACGGGGGACCTGGGTGAAGGAGGCCCAGTCCTGATCTGAGCAGGCTTGGAGATCTCAGCCACGGGTCCCACATACCTGGGTTCCTCTGTCGGTTCCTTCACGGATGAGGCTCGCCTGAGCATGTGGAGAGTGACCTTGAGCAAGGCTGTGGCTGGGTTCTGGAGGTTTTCAGCTGCCGGGGCTCTGCTTGGGGCGGGGAGGGAAGCTCAACCCGCCCCCTCCAAGGTGCCCCGATAAAGACAGCCTTGCATGGGGGCAGGAGATTCTGCCAACCCCAACATTACTCTCTTTTAATCAGCCCCATGTTCATTATTTGGTGACTAGAGACCACTCCTAGAGCCCCTAAAACCTCAGAAATTGTTTAAACTATCTGACCCTAAAAATGCCCTGTCTTGACTTCCCTGTTTCCCTCAGAAACATAAATAAAGGATATGGCTGAAACTTCAGCTCTCTTCTGCCTGTGGCCACCCTAGGTATTTTTTTTTTCTGTGATCCTGGGAGGGATACAGTAACCTTTCTTTGAGACCTGTCAATAATAAATTTCTTTTATAATCTTCATTTCTTTCCTGTGTTGGTCATATGTTTTTATTGTTTTGGGGACACACACAGTGGTTATCAGAATTTACTCCTGGCTCTGTGCTCGGGAATTTTTTCCTGGTGGAGCTCAGAGGACCATATGGGGTGCTGGCGATCAAACCCATGTTAACTGCATGCAAAGTATGTGACTTACTGGCTGTACTATCTCACTGATGTCATGTGCTGATTAAGTAACTGATAATGACTCAATAGAGAACTGATAATATTTTCATTTTTAAGCAGTATCAGTATCTTAGAAACTGCTAAGAATTAAGCTGAAGGGCTGGAAAAATAGCTCACAGGGATGGAGTGACCCCAAGTCAGGAGTAGCCAGTGAGCACTGTCACAGTAAAGCTGATTGTGTTTAAGTATGAGTAGCTTATCAACTTATTATTCCAGGGGCCACTGGGGCCATACCTGGTGGTGCTGGGGGGAAGGAGATCAAATTCAGTGCCTCACAGACATATTCTACTATTTTAGTTCATCCCCTACCCTGGTTTCCTCTTCTTTTTTTTTATATGGAAACATGCCATCCTCTAAATTTCTAATCTGAAATAGTGGCTCAAATAGTGTGAAAGGAATTTTAAAATAAGTTTCATAGGCAAACAGAA